TCTACATGTGTGGGTTGAAGGAAAACAATAAAATATTCTCAATCAACCTTTTAAAAAAAGGTAAAGTATAAATAGTCTGGCAATATATTTTCCATTCTAACCCAGCCATAGTAAATGAATTAATTTTTGGGTAATTTAATCAGATGGCTTGCTGATAAAATTTGAGCAAAAACTTGATGTCCAGCACCTGACGAATTGGTATGGGTTTTTCTGATATGAGAAGTCTGTCCAGATGGCCCTAGAATGAAAGATAATATTCAAAATGTTGTTCCCAGAGAATTGGCCAGCTGTATTTCACATGAAAATGCTTCTGTGAATTTAAAAAAAAAGAGCATTAAGGATAATGGAGAATACTGAAGAGAGCGTTTAAATGTAATCCATACACAATTTAGAGTAATTGACTCTGTTGGCAGGAGTTGTCTGAAATTAGGCTTTAATGGGCACAACTGTTAACGTATCAATCTCAGACAAACTACATCTAGAACTAAGATGCTAACTTTTTGAAAATTACCCATCAGTTTTTTTCTTCTACCTAATAAATTTCTTGATATTGTTTATAAATTTGTCACCTACAATAAAAAGCCTTTCTAAAGAAGTTTTACCCTTATTATTCGGCTGAGAAACATCTGCAGGTACTTTAAATTTGTTTAAACATATATAAATATAGTCAAGGTTCAGCAGCTGGAAGCAGAAGCCCAAACACTGACATTTGTAGTGAGAAGACATTTTTGGATGAACATTTCCTAACAGGCTTGCAGAAGGGCTGGAAAAATCACTCTTTTATACCCCTATGAAGCATTTCTGTTTCACATTAACATCTTCCTGGAGTTCACCCATACCCTTCACAGCAGAATTTTGTCCTGCCATCTGACAAAGCTGTACTCAGTCCAAGATTATGATCTTTCACATCTGCCAAAGGCTGAAAGTGTAGCCAGAGAGAAAAAGCTGAATCCTTGAACTTCCCACCACAGCAAAGAAGCAAAGTTAACAGGGCTCCAAGGAAGATCCATTAAACCTTCACCACATATCCATCAAAAAGGTGATCATAATCTGAACTCTATAGGCTGGAATGGTACCAAAGAATAAACAAATGAAAAAAAAGTGAGTACTTCCATCAAGACAGACAGAATTCAACAAGATGTGAAGATGGAATGTAATTTTAGCATACATGCCTACATTTAGAAGAGGAAAAAAATTCTTCACACGTACAAATAGAATTACATGTAATATCAAAATATGCTTCTATTTCTTACACTATTTGACTTATTCTTTTATAAATAAAACTGTATAAAAGTTTTAAGTATATGATTTAAGTATTCGTATGCTTCAATTTCGCTCCTTGGTATCTTCAAACCCAGATCAGGATACTTGTTGATTTTAAAATACTTGTTAAATTTGATTTGTAGAAACAAATTGAAAACAGACTTAAGGATGTCAAGAGCTTCTTATAAATAAGAACAATTTAAAAAACCTTAAGTTTTAAAATTTAACAAAGAAACCATGATAATCTACAAGTATCACCCCATTAATTTATTTTAGTACCATTCTTCCCTCATTATATGAATGTGTATGCTACTAGCCTGATACACTCACAGACATAGCACAAGAAAACACCACCCAAAAATACAAATTTTTAGGGTATTGGTAATTAAATTAACTCAAATGCAACAAAATCAGTTTTGTTTATGCTTTCCTTGTATTGCTTCATGGAACTTTTTTTTTTTTTTTAAACAAAATGTAAGAGGTGATGGGTTATTTACTGTGAGATGGTGCACAGGACAAATATAATAGATAGTGCTAATTGGAGGAAACACTGAAACACTAGGAAAAGACTGGTGATTATACCAGTGGAGGTGGCTGTTAAGGAAAACATCTTTCCTTCCAGGTAGATATTTCCTAATAGCAGCTTAAATTCATTAATCCTTTTGGTCTACCAGTTTAGACGAAACAGTATTTTCCTCTGTATGGCAATGAGAATGAGAGGGATAATAAATCATAGGGAGGGAAGGAAAACAGGAAGGAAGAATCACTCAATACTCTTCCACATCCTGGAAGTTTTTCAGGATGTTCACAGTGGAATAGAAAGTGAGAAAATAAAGATTTTAAAATTATTTAAAGCTTAATTATTTCAATGGATTTCTTTGGAATTCTGCTTCTCTGCCCCTTCCCCATCTCACTTAGATGCAGGAATCCTCCATATGGTATATGGTAGCATAGCATGGAAATTGTCTTCAAGTAAGTTTGGAACTTGAATTGCATAGAATCTACAATGTTTTTTAATCTCCTAGCAATTACTTTAAGTGTTAGGTGTGTGATAGCCTGGGTTTTATGATAAAGGATTAGATTGGCATGTGTTGGAGCAATGTCTGGGAGCTACACTAAGCAACAAACTAACAGGAGTACAGGAACAGTCTTTGACTTCTGCCCAACATTTGTCAAAAGATTCCCAAAGAAAACACTGAAATGTCTTTTCTTCAAGCTTTAACACTCTGTGTATGTGACGCCTTAAGACTGTTCTCTCTACAGTGGTTTTGTTCTTTCCAACCAAAAAAATATATCAGGCAGTCAGAGAAAATTCAGAAAACTGCATGATTTTAATTAAATCCTTTGATAAAGCTCATGGCTATTTTTTATTAATAAAGGGTTCTAAAGTTTTTTTAAAATTCAATAGGTTCCTGAGCAGTTAGCGTGGAAAATTTGGAGACCAAATCAATCAATAAGCTAGGAGTTAAAGGGATTTTAGTCCTGCCTTAAATGAAAAACCTTCATGCAGCTTGAGCTACACAGTTTGTGTAGAAAGTCTCAGCAATATTGATCTCGAGTGCACTTATATTCCCATGTGAACGTCACTGATGGACATACATTAAAGAACTGCCATGGAACACAAACCTGCTGATAGAGAAGGTGTGCTTTTTATAACGTTACAGCCACTTAAAAAAAAACTGCTATGAACATGACTGCCAAATATTCTTATTATGACTTGCTTTGGAGAAGAGACACTCCTATAGCCTTGATTCTGGAATGGCTGATCTGTGACTATCTCTACAGTAATAATAGTACCAGCATCATCTCAATAAAAAGCAATATGATGACACTTCCAACAGGATACTTCTGCATTGATTTGCTAACTGTGATCTGGAAGAGGTTTATCTACAGAGGCAGAGCAGCACATTGAGAAGAAACTGCCTTATTTATATGAATACAGTGCATATTTATGAGTATTTGTCCTGGTCTAGGGCAAAATTTGGGTGGAAACCTCTGAATGGGGTCCCTCTAGAAAGCATATTCAAATGATCCTCCCCCAACTGGTTCAGGAAAATATTTCCTTGGAAAAAAAGTGGAAAAAAAACCTGTTGATTCAACGAGCTTTGGATGTCTTGTTTCTGTAAGAGAGAAGATGAAAAGATGCTGCTAAAGGAAACATCAGAAGCGGCAAAAAAATTATGAAGTCACTGATAAGATAAAGGGGAAGGTAGCCTCTGTGGACTGTCTGATTTTGCCCTCTCAAGGTCAAGCTGAGAAGACAGAGACATGTACTAACTCCAGAGGATCTGAAACATAAAAAGGAAAGACTCACATTCATCACAGCTGACTTTATGCACTCAACTGAAGTGCCTAAGTAATGCTATTTTTTCCTGACTGGGAGGACACACATCTTCAAAAAGCATTTCCACCTGTCCAAGAGCTGCACTGTGCTCTGCATAGTGAGCGACACTGTCCTCTACATACGAGCCATTTCTCATATGAAAGAAATAAAGGATGCCTTCACACTCACTAATCTACTCCAGTCTGTGAGACAACAGGCCATTCTATACTATGAAATTTGGGAAGAGACAGGATGGCAAAGGCAAAGACCTAGATATGAAAGAAGCAGAAACTGCTGCAGATCAATTGACTTCTCATGCCTCCAGAAATTGAGGCAAATAGGCACTGAAAGGTGTGCAAACATGAAAAGAAGGCTACAATCAAACGGAATCATCAGAATTAGAGATGCAGACGTCAATATTTTTTCACTATTCGAATTGAAACATCTCAAAGTTTGTCTTCATGAAAAAAATTTGTAAGGAGAGAGCTAGCGTGGGTCAGGCACATCTTGCTAATGCAGCTGTGAAGCAAGGATCTATGGTTCTACACAAAGGGAAGGCCAGAAAGCCAAAAGGGTTGTCAAGGGACAAGAAGTTATCCAAGGCACATGACTTCTGCCTTATAATCATGGCAGACAGCAATTCCAGAGCATTTCTGTAGAGCTTGTTCCCAATGTCAAGTGCATCTGCACCTAAGAGAGCTAAGTGCTGAGCTAGTACAAAGCAGTGTAGTTCTGCTGCTTGTAAATGAGCTGTATCCTCTTACACAGCTGACTGTCTGCATGTCCCAACAATTACATTTACAACTCAGTGCCAATGTTCTAGCTATAAGTTGCAGCAACTTTCCCCTCAGCTTCTGATCCTCTTTCCTTTATGATGGTTTGAGCCCATCCTCTGAATTAAACATCCTCATTAATAGGTATTAAATTAACTCATGAGCAGAGTTCAAACAGAAAAAGGCTTATGAACACCAGGAAAAGGATGCAGAAAACAGTATAAATATCTGCAATTGTCAGTGAATTTGGTAGAAATCAGAGAGAGTTCAAAATAGATGTTCTTACTGTCTGCTGACCTGTTAAAAATGCTTCTTCCTGTTATGAAAAACCCTCAGAAGGAACCAAATTGTATTTCATCACTATGTTGAATTCTCACAATCTATTCCTTAGGTTATGTGCAGAAGTGCTACATTTTAGATGCAGATCTGTCTCTTTCAATTACCAATGCAGACTACAAAGCCCATGTCACATGTCAGTTTAGCTTGCTAAATTATCCTAGTTGGCTCTTTTAACTTCAGTGATAGCAGGAAAAAAGATGTTCTTAGCAGTTATAAGTGCTTATACCTTAGCACTACTAAAGCATCTAGCCAACTCTTAGATTAAATAAAGGTGCAGAAGTTTTGATATTGATGTATAATACCTGTTTTTAATGTGCTGGGGAGACCCAAGACACTTGAAAGCTCCATTGACCATAATAGCAAGCCTTGTGCAGAGAGCTTCACATTCTTCCATGCTACAAAATAAATCGAGGGGAAAAAACAGATGATTAGTAGTGAAAACTGAGAACATTGTTTATATCTGACTTCAACTAAAGTGGAAGAATCTGGAGAGCTGCCAAAACAGGCACACAAAACCTTTGGCCTCGAAGGGTAACAGTCAAAGTTGTAACCTTAATCAGCATATACCAACAGTTATTACCATATGACAGCTAGAAAAGAGCCTTAAATCATTATTTATATTTTTAGTCCATAGCTAATTGGACAATTCTGGTCAGAACATAAAGGTATCATTACCACAGGAAAAGTCCCATAAGCAGTCTCAGGAATGGCACTGAGGGAGTCTTTAAATCTGTTGTTCCCTTTAATAGCCATTTATGATTATTCTGAGATAAAGGGAGAAGAATGAAAAGTTTGCTCACCCTTTCTTTTGCATAGTATATGGCCTTGAAAAAAACTTACCCTTAGTCTTATTGCAGGATACAAGATCCAAAACACTACAATCCAAACAGAATTTAGGGAATGGAAATGTGTCTGAATGGAAAAGCAGGGTCCTCCTAAATGTGACTGCTTCAGATGATAAACAATGGTTTTGACATGTAAAATTTATGGCAGATGGGCTGCTACCCTACATATTATGCAGAATTGTGTGAGCAGCTCTTTCAAAGAAGCACTTTAGACTTAAGGAACCAGTCAGGACACACCCATCATCTCAAAGAGGACTCAAAGGTCCTACAATTCAGTGTGTCCCCTCCCCAACCCTTCTGAGGCAACTAAACAAGAGATGTCTCGTGTGCCTCAGCCATGGGCCAGTCCAAATCAAAGTGCTTTGACTGAATGAACATTGGCAATTGAGTACTGCCCTAGGAACTATTCCTTTATAATGAGACAGGGCTGTGCTGCGAACTGCCAAAGTGCTATGTCTGAGAGAGACAGGGAGAGGGCTGACACATCTTCACACAAATCAGGCAATCCACTAACTCCTAATGCTCCCCTTGGTATAATGCTCTCCAGCTGTGGCAAAATGACACAAATTTAGTGCTCTAGGGACAGTCAATAAAGCCTCACTCCTCTCCAGTTAAAACAGAAGTTTTGTCTCTGAAATGTAAGTAAAAAATTGTCTCTGAAAAGTAGGTAAACAGTCCTCAAAACCTGATTTTTACACAGCAAATCCTCTCTACACCTTACACATGTATTTGCTGACATATGAAAGTTCACTTCATATGTAAAATTCCTGTACTTATACAAGTAAACAATTTCAAAGCCCCAGTGGCCTTCAGAAAATAATATTAATAGTATAAAATAATTTCTCCTTTCTTTACCCTGGCACAACAATGTGAATATCACTGTACTTATTTTCTGTTTCAAGTCATTCATTCATAGAGCTAAATGCAGTTAGTACAATCTGATGGATTTTGTTTGTTTGTTTACATCATATTAGTAATAAGATCACAGAGCTCTTCTATTTAGCTAGTGTTTGACAATGAAAGGTTCTAAATCTGGACTGAAAAGTCAAAGTATATTTTTTCTTAAAATCACTGAGCTGAATTCATAATGCGTAACCCATGTTCCCTAAATCTGTGTGCACTTAGGTAAGCACTTGGCCATCAAACACAGGCACACAATTTTCAAAATTCAGTTTCCATAAATGAAACACAAGAAACTTTTTGGATAATTTTTCCATCAATAATGGACTGGGACAACAAATACATTTTAAGAATATCTAAAAAAAGTCTGAAAACAGAAAACATTTCAGGAAGTTTGGCCACATTCCTTTATTAATTAATCTATACTTCAAATCTCATTTGGCCAAATATTTCATTGCTGTTTTGAGTTTTGAATTTTGTCTTCTCTGGACATGTTTTCATGATCTCTCCCTCATTTAAAGAAATTTTATATATAATCATGCATACTATATATATTACCTAAGGGAACATTTAATTTATTTCATTTCACTATAGATGTTACAAAACAGTATTGATGTTTCCTCCATTAAACCAGTATACCAGTGACCATGTCAGAGAACTGACAAGATATTTAATGTAGGTGGACTCTTCTAAGAGGATGGGGTCTCTCCTACCATTTCCAGTAATGCATAAGAGAATTGCTGATCCTTTCATCTTCAGGATGCCATAGGTTGCTCTTTTCATACACTGATGCAAAGAAGAAACTGAATAAAATCAGCTTTTTCACTCACACCTCCCTTTGTAAGGATCTTTAAGATAGACAGATCCAAAACAATAAACTGATGTTCCATGCATGAAAAGACACTAATACTCTGAGTAAGAAGAGCATGGAAAAAGAAGGCTGTGCCTTTGCTGTGCCTGCAGCCCCTTGAGCAACACTCCATTCTTTAAAAATTAAATATGAAAAATATTTGGGATTTAAATAGGTTCCTTTATCATGGATAGGAAGGAATTACCATAAAATTTCAAGACTTAATCTGTGTTTCACAACAGAGTGAGCATGCCTTCAGAATCTAGTGCTCTGCAGCACAGGAATATGGTGGCTGCTGGGATAAGGATCTTACCTATGGGATGTCAGCACAGCTGCACAGCCATCCTGAACTTCCTTCAAGATAGCTTTCCAAAGGTAGCGTTTAGAGCAGGGATCCATCCCAGAGCTGGGCTCATCCTACAGGAAAAATGAAAATGACACAGCAGCATGGAAAAAGCATACCACAGGTTCTGCCCAGCAGGAAGAATTAACACAATTCACAATAAAATTGTATATTTTTCTCTTCACATGTCACGTTTTCAGAGGGTCACTTAAGTGACACCCTGATCAATGTTTTGCTTTAACATATACAGTTTAATGTCTAAACTTATGGAAGGCACATTTTAGTAAAGAAGTGTATATAAACAATATTTAAATACGTTTAAATAACGTTTATCATACATATGATTTTTTTTATATCATATATGTATCGTTGTAAGTATTTATTATATTATATCTGTTTTATTATATACACATGCTCTTTTTGATGAGAGAGACTTGCAAGTGGTTTTTCTCACTTTCTGGAAAATTTAGTGACTGTTTCTGGTCTGCATACACGTCTGCTGTGAGCACAAACAACTGGAGAAGTCCTATAGCTCCCAGATGTCTACACTGCCCATCCCATACCCAGATGTTTGATAAGATGTTTGGATTTGACATCCTATACCAGTTACTCCCACAGTCCTTTAAAGAGGAATTTTTACCCACAATGGAGAGAATTCACAGGATAAAATAACATTAACTCAGTGCAAACCAACTGGCAAACACATTTCCCACTCGGATAGTTTTCATGGAGAAAGACATGCTGCTACAAAATCTACATTACCCCTTCTTATCTTTTCCTCACTAAATCAAAATTTTACTTCTTCCACTCATGGAAACAAAGGAATTATATTTGATTTACAAATCCAGTCTCTTTTACTACAAAACTAAGAAGGAAACTCTTCCAGTTGTCTTTTATCCAGTGGGATTCCATGGGGAGTATCAGCACCTGTTAGACAGGTATGGCTTTGGCCAGAGTATTTTCAGCAAGGAATTCCAGCTGAAACCTGGAAGCGAAGTTTTCAAGAAACAAAGCAAACAAAATAACGAATTTGAAGCTAATTTTAGTGCTTCACTACCAATGTCAGAGGTTAAAGAATTCAGTTCAGCCTCCCATTATCTGTGGACTGCTAACAAAGAAAACATAAAAAGCAATAAACATAAAGCAACCACAATATTGCTCAAATTAATAGCTACAATCCTGGATGCAATTTAGAAGCAGATTCAGTTGTTTATATTGGTGTCTTTGCTTTCAGACAAAATAATAATAAAAAAATCTCCTTTTAAAATACTGAAAAACTCCTTTAATATCTGCTAGCTTTCTGAAGTCAGCAAATGTTTCAAAGGATTTGATATGTTTAAATATCTTTCTTTCCTCTTTTCATTCTATATGCAACAGTCTGTGCCCTGCAGCAAGAAGAAGGCTGAAATGGATACTTGCAGTTGTACAGTGTCATAAAGACATTCAAAACCAGTTAGAGCATTTCCTAAGATCAGGAAAAAATACTGATTTAAGATAATCTCCTCCTTTTACTAGCTGAACCAGGGTCAGTTAAAGCATAAAATGCAAATAAAATATCTTCACTTAGAAGTGAGGCAATGGTAGGCAGTTAGAAGAAGCAAAATGTGTCTAATCTTCTGGAACACTAACCCCAGAGAATATCAATTTTATCTGGCTCAACTTAGCCTGAAATCTCTTCCTGGAAGCCCTGTTTTTCCCCTCAACTCTGAGGAGCAGCTTTCCTACCCCGACTGTTTTAAAACCTTTATTGCACTACTAAACTGGTTTAGCTCTTCCCAGCCAAGTTTTGAGAAAGCAGTGTTCAATATTCTCTAGTGAAACAACAGGCAGTGGTATGAAAGAGAATGCAGTGTTGTAATGATGCAGTTCTCAAAGCTTTGTAGCTCCATGATCTTCACTGCAAAAGGCATTGTTTACACTGGAATGGCCAGTGTCAGGCCTGAATGGGCAGTAGTATACAAGAACCAAAATAACCCGGGATAAGTAATTCAAATTAATCCAATTCATAAGTATTACTTGATTGTTTGACTTGTGAATGCAACAAAATGTAAGAACTAGCTAGGTTTATGAAATAAATACAACCTAGCAAGAATTAGGAGTGTCCTGAAAGAGCATGGGTCAATTATACATATTTATTGGGTAAATTAAAAATATTTAAATGTATTTGGACCATGGAATACTACAACTGGATTTGTGTTGAGGGCTTTTTGCTTTGTGTTCACCCAATTGCTCCAAGGAAGAAAAAAATAGGAAAGAAAAAAACAATTTCACTTTCTATTTATGTGAGCACTGGAGAATAAAATTAAAGCCATTCACATAGCAGAACAAAGAAGACAGCTGTACATCTGTGTATTAATTACTCCCTGACTGATCAGGAAACTACCTGATTTTCTTCAGAGCAACATACAAGACGACAAAATTCAATGTAGCCCATTTTTCATAAGCACAATATTAGTTTTACTCACCAGTAAAAGTATTTGGGGTTTACCAACTAAAGCCACAGCAGTGGAGAGCTTCCTCTTTGTGCCAGCACTGTATGTTCTCACCAGTTTGTCAGCATGAGCGTTCAGGTGTAACCGGTCAACAAGGTCCTCTGCAACCTGAAAATTTTTAAAGTTCGCAGATTTGAAGGGCAAAAAAAATGCATTTGTACATAGATTGTGCAGAAAACATTCTGTTCCTGACTGTTAAGAAAACATGCATATTGTTTCCTTATTTACCCACACTTGCTACATATTATTACTTCTGAATCTTAAGCACAGACAAAAAGCCGCTCTGGGGCCCCTTCATTCTTCAAAAATGATAAGGATTTTCTCATATGGAAATCTGGCTTTGTCAGTGCTCAGCACAGTCATTTGTATTTGGCTTGTGTCCATGGGTCAATGATCTAAAACATCTCTCATTTCAACTTATTCTTCACTATTTATTTGATCAAATACCTGAGTAACTGAAAATTCAAGTGAAAAAATTCTCCATCAGCTACAAAAAAAAGATGAAAATGTCAGAAAAGCAAGTCACAGTTGTGGATTTCGAGTTTCTTTAATTAATATATTAATGAAATTAATCAAATAAAATTATCAAATTAATATAGCTTTTTAATAACTGAGAGGGCCAAGCTGATCCTAGCTGAATTGGTTTTAACTGCCTTACAAAGAATGTATGATCAGAGCAATCTGGGAAGGCATGTGAGCACAGCTGGAGACAATGCTCATGCTGTCCCCTATGGCCTTTCTTCCTTACCCTGTCACAGACAGTCCTGACATGCAAGGCTCCCTAAAATAGTGGTGCTAGGGAATATTAAAACTATATCAGCTATTACTGCTGGACTGCCCAAGGAGATATTGCTCAAAACCATGAGAGATACAGCAGCAACTTTTCTACTTGCTGCTGCCAAATGCACCCTGCCAAGCAGCAGGTGTTTGGCATGGACTGCTGGGGGGCTGTGTCATCAAGGAGTGATGCTTTGTAACACAGCAAGTGTGTTTTCCACCTCTATCTAGGACAGCTGGAAGATTCTTGTAAAACAAGGAGTTGCATGGTGCTCTTACTGCCCAACATTAACTGCCAGAGCACCCCAGCAGTATGGTTCATTCCCTTTGCTTCCTCTACATTGCCTTCAGCAAAAAGCAAGGAGGGACTTGAAGGTTTGATCATATCAGATGGGCAGCCTCCAATTAATCCAAAAGTCCAATAGGAAAAAAATTCAATAAACAATATTGTGAATTAATATTCACTATCCGTCATAGAAAAACTGTCACAAGCATAATAATACTTTCTATAGGAGAGTTTCATACAAATACCTTTGGAAATGAACAAGATATTCATGACCCTTTTTGCAAGATTTTTCAAGCAATACTTATCAAAGAGACATTTCTGAGAGCAAGTTGTCTGTAAGAAGGAACAATGCTGCAGCAGTGAGAATCTATAGTATTATTGTGATGATCCTTGGACAGTATCCATAGTCACTGCGTTTGGGGCACCTGGATGTATAACCTGATAGCAGTGCATACTCTCATACAAAGCCACATTTCAGAAATATTGCTCTGTCTACATTAGATGCAGAGGAAGTTTTTTTAAAAAAGAAAATATTAACAGCTAAACTAGCCACAGGTAATATTATACTGTAAAGTTCAAGGCTTCTGCTATATCCAAGTTCATTCACAGTAATTTACTCCCAATTAGAGATTATAGCTGTGGCTTTAAAAATGGTTAATCACCTAAGCTATATTCTAAGATAAGATAGCTGAGCTTAGTTTCCTTATGATTTTTTCCTCTTCCAAATATAGGTCTCATTATACACCAAAGGAACACAAAAGTGAAGTCTTCTAAAGCATATGGTAGGCAGCTTATCCCATCTACAAAACTGACTTGACTGCTACCACTGGGAATGCATGAATGTTAGTGACTAAAGGATTATCCTTCTACATATTCACCAACAATCACACAAATTACACAGAAAAGCTCATAAGAATTTAAGACCAGAAAGTGAAAGAATACACAATCCCAGATTTACACCAAATACACATTTTAAATTACAATAAGCTTCAAAAGTTATTAAAAAATGATCCCGACAGGACTATGCATCGCAGCTGAATGTAGTCAAAACTATCCTTTAGCTATGACTAGAACCACTATTTCTAAGACTGCTTTGAAGTGTCATCTAAAGTCAGCAAAATGCCTTTTTTTAAAAGAGACAATGAATGCTGCATGGGGAAGAATTGAAAAGGTCAAGGAATAGTGCCAGAGAGAGAAGAAAGTAACCATTCAAGTTAGATGGGTCTTCTTGTAGTCTGTAGCCCCCAAGGAGACTCAATCGCATCAGGTATGAACATAAAGCCCTTTGTAGGGAGCAACATTAAAAAGAACTGACTTTGCAAGATTTTTAATTCCTCACCTTGAATTCTCCTCTCTGTGGTGTGTGCTCAAGCATTCAGCATGACTCCACAATCTCCTGTTTCATACAAGGAGATAAAGCCTGGCAAGTGTCCCGCTATAGAAATTTTTCAGGATGAGGTTTAAAAGTTAAATAGGTAAAAAAAGAGGGGTGGGAATAGTACCCACTTTGCTGCTGCTTTAAATGTGGAGAGTTTCCAAGATAAACCTTGCAGATCACCAGAGCACAACAAAATCTGGCCTGATACCTAGATACACTCCTTTGGTGCAAAACGTATCAAATTAGAACCAATTTGGAGCTGAACCACATCAGCAACATAAAGGCAGAAGGAAAGGAAACTTTCCTACTCCCAAATATTTCCCGTTGCACCTAGAAAAGTGTCCTGTTCCTGCTAACCCCCTCAACTCTTACATTTCAAAAGAACATTGCAGATTATGGTTCAGCAAATATAAGACTATAGAGCTCAATCTTCTTTCAAGAGATGACCCTAAGACCTTTTTCTTTAATGCATATTATAAGATTTCCAGTAATGTTTCCACTTCATCAATAATACCTAAGCATGAATGAAATGAAATATTAAATGAAATTAAAAATATTACATATTAGCTATATATTACATATTAGCAATATTATAGAGGAGCTTGAATATCTCCATTATAACTTCATTTGTCTGTATAGCCAGTGGTTTGCATCATAGTACACTGTAAAATGAATAAAAAACTCCCTCTTAAACTGCTTTGGATGAAAGTCAGAATTGAGCGTGTGATCAATCCTCAGATGCAGATACACACATATATGCCAGAGAATTACAGTTTTAGTGGTGTCCTTCTTGTAGGGAATGTGAGATATATACACAAGCACCTTCTCTCCTTCCTTGTCATATTCAGCATGATGCTCTATTTGAATAATGTTTCAATGTCCTTCAGCAGCAAAGAGTGAGGAAATACATCAATTTACTTAGCAAGTTGGCAACATTGAGGCCAAATCAAAAGCTACAGAGTTATATGCAAATATATACATTGTAAGCACACTTGAACCATGAAAATATTTAATGTCTATTCATGGCTGTAATAATGTACTTAAACTTTTTCCTTCCTTCCCACACCAGCAGTAAAAATTATAACAAACTTCACATCTATCAGCTAGTTATTTCCCTATTTTCCAATGTTTCTTAAAACTATTTACTTTTTATTCTCATCAATTCTAATATATTTAGCAAAAGCTTTTCCCCAAAATTAATTTGGGTTAGTCCACCTAGCTTTAGAACAAGCATTGGAATGAGCCCTTCAATCCGTAGCATCTAAGCAAAATTCCCCAATACTTTGTGGAGTTCCTAAAGACAACATTCATTCCAGAAGACGCCATAAGATAATTCAGCTTTTGCACAAATACTGATTTCTGTGGGAGTAAAGGTCAAACAGGCATGGTCTCCACCATCCATCACAGAACTAAGAGGTACATCCATTCCACTGAAAAGTGGAAATTGTGTAACCACTAATGCCTATGGCTTTCCATTCCCTTTAAAAATTACTTCTAATATTCAAGTAAAAAAATAAGTGGTGCTAAGGACTTTCAGTCTGTGTATTTTCCAGAAAAACTTGGAGTTAGTAAAGACTAAATCTATTCAAAGACTGGAAACATCATAATGTGTCTCTCCTGACTTGAAAGGCTGTATCCATCATTGCATTAGTTTTCATCATTTCTGACACAATCAATAAAATATAAAACTTCTTGCTATTTATTTAAACAAATCCTCTTAAAGCAAATCTGACCCAATACTGATAATGTGTATTGTACCCAGTATAAGTGATAATAAACATGGATTGAATTCTAGAGTCATCTGAAAAATAACTTTATATGTCCAAAGCTGTAATTTAAAATGTCAGATTCTGAGTAAGTCGAGACAGTGTAGTTTGAACATCCTAAATAGCAATTATTCATCCATTCCACACACAAAACAGTATTTATTTGGCTTTCAAGTAAACTCAGGATTGTTAGATTTCTTACATTTAGGAAGTGTATATCCATGGTCAAGTTTCTAGGGAAGCAATATTTTTTTCCCCCAAAATCTCATAAAACTATAGACACTAATTCTGCTTGGGGTCCAAAAAAAGTAAACATACAAAGAATAAATTAATTATTTCTTTACATTTTGTATGCTATAGGTGCTGGACATGGGAATCTGTAAACTGAGATTCTAGAACCAGAGCAAAATCTTCCTGGAGAGTTGATGAAAAAAAAAAAAAGCATACTGACATTCCAAAAAGTTACCTCAGAAGACCCGAAAAACCTTCTTTTGAGATTTGCAACAGAGGTTTTAATGCTAATGAGGGATGCCATTTGATGGTATGCTAATAATTTTAATTTTTTAACAAGCTGAGTTCTGTATTTTGGAACAAATTGAGATCTAGGAAATTGATATATTAAAGAAATAAAAATTAAAAGTACTATGTTTCATCAATATCTTTCTAAATAACCCAAAAGCTTTACTCTAATTTTCCCAATTTTTAACAAAAAGAAATTTTCAGAGCAGATTTTTGAAGCATAACAAAACTTCACATTACATGTGAAGCTTAACATTGATAGTAAATGACCCATTTTTCTCCTCCTTTCCCATTCATTTAATTACTGTTTTGGAACATTAAGTGCACTCAACTTTATGTCAGGCACTTAACTCCTGCTGCTGATAAATCTGTCTAGCAAAGGATTTGGTCCTTGAATTTAGTGCTTCAATAGACAACTTCAGCAGCAACACAACCTGTAAGTCACCTGCCTGCTCACCAATTTCTCATAAAACAAAGTGAATGTATGTTTCTTTCCTTATCAAACCAATGTGCTCTTTAGAATATATGTGTCTAATATTGCATATTAGTGCAATTAGTCACTGGTAAATATTCAGAGGCAGGCTTGGACTGCTGTATCATAGGCAGGAGGGAATGATGAGAAAATAACAGCTTACGTTTCCATACAGCTGCTCCTCTAAAGCATTCCAAAGCCTTATTTTCTTTATAGGCAGCTAAAATGATCGCTTTCTCCAGGCACCAACCATTTCTGAGTTGAAGCACAGCAGCTGTTGAGTGCTTGACAGCAGTGCCACACAGGAGGGCCCGGTGACAAAAACATTTGTTTTCCTCTGAGATAGCTGCATTTCAGTGTTTGATGGAGGCAAACCAGAGCAGCTAAATATTATTTGCAGGAGCGCTTTGATGCCTTGATCACAAGCATATGGCAACAAAGTCTGCCCTGCAATCTATGCAGACAAAAAATTAATACAACTGAAAGGAAGAATGATCTCTCTTTCACAAATGTGATGCTAAGGCACAGAAGGTTAACTATAAAGAATACTTTAAGCCTATACCTAGATTATCTGAGGTCCAAGAAGGTTAATGTTTGTCTTCTCTCAGTGCACACAGTACTATAACTCATATATAAATGAATGATTTTCATCCATTTGAAGAGGGATGTGTATGTGGAATACCATACCACATGAGCTTCCCTAGCTGCTATGGAAGAACTGCCACTTCATGGACAGAACAGGTAATTATAGTTGAGGGCTTTAGTGCAATAACAACCATCCCTTAATATATTTTGGATCGAGGGAAATATATGCAAGTTTTCAGTACTCTGCTAGTAGTTCAAAGTAAAAATTAACACCAGTAAGTTATGAAGGGGAAACAATCAAACAAAAGACTGTATGATAATTTCTGAGCAGTCTGCAAATAACATGCTGTTAAAACAGGTAAAAGTCCAGGCTCTGTTCTGGACAACGGATACTGCCCAAGACAAGGGGCAAAGACTTGCAAGAATCACTTATTTTCCCCAGACTTTTATCTAGAAATACCCAAATGATCAGCTTAAGACAGTAAAAATTCAAAATATTGCCTGTCCTGATGAATACTCAATGTCCCTTATAGGAATCATACTTTTTTTTTCTGAAATAGCTCAGGAAGAAGAAAACAGACTGCAGAGAACCAGAAAGCAGTCCTCTCACATACAATAAGGGGATTGGTAGCAAACCACTTATTAGACCCTGAGGCAACTGCTAGAAAAATGCCGTGTAGTAGGGGGAAAAAAAAGAAAAAAAAAAAAAAATCAGTTCATGCAGTTTTGCTTCCAGAAAAATGAAAGGAAAACAACAGGCAGTATTCTGAAGGTTACGAGGGCAGAGCTAGAGCAATACCTACCAATTGGGACCAATCTGTACAGTAGGAATAGACAGATACCAATTTCATATCACACTATTGTTTTCTCATTTTAATAGAGATGCAATTAAGCAGAAAAGACTGAACAGCTCAAGTCAGGTCATATTGTAAACTTCCATCTGCTGATACAGAAACCACCCCCATGTTTTACACCGTATCCATTTCCTACTTAATTTCTGGTATTGGCTGGCTGGTTGCCTCGTTACAGAAAAAGGAGCTCAGACTACTGATCAGCACAGCTACACCTGTATCTGTAAATCCAAGAGCCCCCAGGGATATTCCCAGATATTATTAACTTCGATGCTAGTAAGCTCTCAAAGCATTTTCTTTGGCCTGTTCTCCTTGTACAACCCCATGCTTTGTGTGGCAGCTGGAGCATTTAAGAGACTACTCCCATCTTGTCAAGTTTATGACAGCAGAGTGCTGACAGCTCATATCCCAGTGCCCATGTGATTCATTTATTTATACAGAATCATACAAAAATTTTAGTTTCTTCAAAGTTAAATCGTATCTCTGAAGAAAAGTTTTTTCAGAGGTACAAGGCTGAAAATATGGTGTTCTCTCACAGTTCTTTAAGCATGATAGTGAAGGCATTGAACCATTCATAAATTTTATTTCTTTTAGGGTTTTTGTGCCTGAGATTTCATTTGCAGAAAAGTTATTTTACTATCTGCAGTGATTTTATTGTGTTTTGAACTGGCATAACAGATAGAAAAAAATCCACATTATTTAAATAAAATCATGGTAATGAAAAATCTTATTACTAAAGTTGTTAAGATGAAATGTTAGAGAGTTTCTCACGTTAAAAAGGTACAATAGTTCTATAAACCACACAGTCCATCCTGGCAATAGTTCCCTCTGCAAATCTGTTCTAGATAGTTACCTTATGCATATCCTGCTTTGGAATTCCACGCAGTGTGCAGTAATAATAAAGATGCTCCCAACCAGTTAAAAGTTCATCCAGGGCGTCTTGCTGTGGACAATATCCAATAAGAATACCTTCAGAGCTAGCAGAGAGTATATCCATTTCAGACCTGTTTAAAGAAAAATAAAAGTATTTCAATGTTGCTTAACAAATCCCATGGCCCTGGGTTCCACCCCTGGGATACAAAACAAACACACACAACCTCAAGTCTGCAGATAAAGGAGTTTGAGTCTCTCTGCTGTGGTTACTTAGTGCAGCACCACCCATACACAATGCAAACTTTTTGTGCCTTTTGGGTTAGCACAGCCACCAACATGTCACTGCTGTGACAGCGTGTGTCAAGGTCAACAGACCAACACATGAGGAAGAGACACCCACGAGAATTAATGCTCACCTGTTTTACTTCACTTATCTTTATGGTAGTACCTGCTCTGAGGGGACACATTTCAAACCGTACAGTGCTCATATTGGACGTTATGCTATATACAATATTATATTCAAATCAATCACGTTGAATATTGAAAAGGAAGGACTTGAGAGGGAAACATCGCTGTGCATTCCTTGTGTGTCTATGACCACACGTACGCATGCGTGCATTGTCTGAACAAGAGTAAAACAAAACACTGGATATCAAAGCCTAGTAACTTAAAAGACAATGCAGAAAAAAGTATAAAATTATCCTGATTTAAGAGACTTTGGCCTCCACTTTGTAGCTCTACAGCATTACTTGAAATTACATTCATTGCTAAGAAGCAAGCTTGATTGCAAGGGTGTCTCATTACCCATAATGACACTAAATCTATCCTATTTATTCCAACATCTAATTCAACACTCAATGATGCTGATTTACATGTACAGAAAGACCTGTCAAAATGAAGATACTTTAAAAAATCTGAGCTTTGAAAGAAAAAAGTTTTCAAAAGATTCTGAGTAACAGAATGTTTTTCCTCTTAGTGGTTTTCTACATTTCTCATTAAAAGAACTAAATATATGATTAATCATTTAGACACAAAGTAAATGCATTAACTGCAGGATCTACAAATACCAGCACAAGTGGAAATATAAATATGTATCTCCTGTTAACAAGATTCAGGAGTCTGTGGAGAAAAAATTCTGCATTTTACATAATGAACCACAGCATGAAAATATATTTTAATGCTATCAAAAGATAAATTAACATGATTATGACAAACTTTGCCATGGAATAATTAGAATGGTCCTTTGCTGTTAATGGTAAAGAAATAAAATCATGGTATCTTGGTTGGTTTGGATGGTGCTATGTAAGTTATCTGCCTCTAGACGCCTCTCTAAACAATGAGTTAGCAAAAGAAGGGTGATAGAAGAAAGAGGATAACAGAAATGTTCCTCATTAATTTATATCCACTTACAGGACATTTTCAATGAAGTAAATACAGAATTTTCACTGTCTGTTTCCAACCATACCTCTGGCAAATTAAATCCTTCTTCTATAGTCATCTTTACCATGGGATATGGATTGAATAGTGCTGATCTTTTTGTATAACCAGTCAGAAGCAGTGAATTCCTTATTTAATTAATTCTAACACAGAAAGATACTATTCACAGTGAAATGTTATCTAGATGCTGCCAAACACAGAGAGATGTGTCTGAGGTTTGTTTTGCTAGGAAGATTCATGCACAAGGGGTTTTTTTGGTGCAGCTGCTGTCTTTTGAGAAACAAGAGACTGGGCTTTTGGTAACATGCCAAGTTCAGTCAGAAGAGAACAAATCACACTCAGGGGTAATTTCAGGGACATTTACTCAGCATGAACCCTGTAGCTGGATAGAAACATCTTGTCTGCAATGGGCCCCCAGCACGGAGAACAAAAAGTTAAATATGGATGGCTGCAAAAAAACGACATCCAATTTTCTTTAGCTAGAACGCTATTAGAGCATCCTTACTCAGTTTACAACAGGAAATAAAAAGTGTTCTCAGCGCTAATTGTACACACAGGGTTCTAGTGCTCTGCCTATGTAAAGCACCCTGTCTTAGGCGAACAGTATCCCACTCACTGACCTTTAGATTTCATAAAGGAGAGCAAAGTGATAATGCATCATTTAATATTCTTATTCAGTTTTCTCTCTTATCTTGCAAATTTATCCATTAGTGCTGACCCTGAACACTTGAAACTTCCCATTAACACAGAGATTCTCATGCATTCAAGGACCTTTCCACCTCACTCCTCCCCCTCATCTGTGTATCTTTCAAATAAAAAACAATCCAACCAGAAAACAAACAAAACCAATAAAAAAGCCATATTAGGATTCTTATATTTTAACCAGACTTTTTTTTTATGTGCAGTATAATGCTTCTTCTTCTCTCATTAACATCACAGAGTAGATTTCCAAATCAAAATTATGGACATTATCATTCAGTTAGCCAGGTCCTAAGCTCTTTCTGAAGATATAAACAATATAAATAAACAATAGATGAAAGAAAAATACATTATAATTTTTAATTATAGTAGGTATTGTACAACAGAAAACAAGCTCTCATCTTAGGAAATTGATTTTCCTTGAAATTCAGTTAATCTCTCAGATTTAATTTTTATGGGTCTAAATTAAATGAACATTTCAAGTACTGATGGCATGATACTAGAAAATCTTCTCAGTAAATTATATACTGTAAATACTTTTGCTTTTTTTTAAATTTCTGATTCGATTCATTAAACTAATTATAATCTTCTTCTTCCTTAACAAATATCATCATATATGCTATTATCAGAATCAAATTAGAACTATATTTTTTAATATTTTCTGAAATATAGTATAGTATGCAGCAAAATGCTGATTCTTTTCTTCTCAAGCTAGAGAAAAACAGCCATTTGTTTTCTGCCCTATTATTATCAGGATGCCAGAATTTTTCACTATTCATTCACATCAAAAACAAGACATACAGGAGGAAAAGCTCAGCTCATTTTATAAATAGAGAGAAAGAACATGTAAGTATGGATTCCAACCCCTCTCAGGCTTTTGTCCATGGTATAGCAGACACAATGAAATCTAGCATAATATCTAAAATCTGTAGGGAGAAAAACAGGCTTTTACACTAATAAACAACTTTCTGTATCTTTATAATAACACCGCATACTTGTTATCTTTAAATTGTTAGCAATTTTGATTACATCATCTGATCAAGCTAAGATATAGAACATGTTTTCTCCTTCATTTTTGGACTACATCCTTATGCTCAATAAACACTTCCCCTCTTTAGTTAAATTTTCCTGTAGAGTGAACAGCTGCAATAAATGACATCACCAGAATATTTCCAGAAGTCTTTATATTTTAAATATAGTTTTAAAGTCGCAGAATTGCATTTCTAGAACTCCTTCAGAAATGGTAAACAGAACATCTGGCATCCACAAGAAAAACAGAGGAGTCTAGCACTTGAAGCATGGAAGATTTTCTATTCCATCCCTGTCTAAGTATTTTGGTGAGAATCATGATATTTTGGTGCAAGATATCCTGAGAAAACATCCAGGACTCAATCAGACTTTCCCCACTATGGAGTGCTCATCTCATAGTTTTATACTATTGAGGAAACAAACTTGCCAGACTTTCAAGATACTGGGATCATAAACTAAAATCAGAGTATAGAAAATATTTGATTCAAAGTTGTTCCTCCAGGGACCCTTTCAAGGCTTTCTACATTAATCTATTCATTCTGAGGGCATAAAGAAAAACCTGCAATCTGATTACAGGTTATATGGGAGTGGCATGGGGCACTCTGGTCAGAAAGCCTTTGCTGACACTGCAATGAAACATGAAAGAACAAAACCCCTGGGATGAGTGAATATGATATTGGACAAAACCTCTTTCCTTCTCATGTATAAACTGGACCTGCAGTTTCCAGAAGGCCAGAGTGGCTATTGCAGAACTAGATTTGGATCTTGAATGTTACCAACAGTGGTTACCAATATTGTTTATAGGTAGTTGTGGGCTGGCATTCAAAGGTAACCCTCAGTGCTGGGTTTCCAGAGACAGCTTAGTACCCCTGATATCAGTCTTATGGCTGGTTTTGGGAAAATTGTTTCCCTTTTGGCTCTACTGTGCACTTTGTTTCACTTTTATATGCTTTTTCTCCAGTTTTTGAATGCAATTAAATGCAGTGATATATATGGTACTTACAATACCACATATATATATATCTGCTTCTGCAGAGAGATAAATTCCATTAATTAGTCAAAATGAAAGATAAATTTACAAATTGCAAAAGTACTTAGACATTTCATTGTACTCATTCAGTTCAGTGCATACTAATGCTCAATTAACATAACAAAAAATCAAGGTTAAAATATAATTAATGTAACTATAGCTTCATTATAATTAGACTAATTATATTGATATACAGTGTAAAAACAGCTATTTCAGCCATTATATTGATGCAAATTTATTCTTCCTTTCAAGTTAAGCTATTTGAACTACATTTTTAATTATTTATCAAGCTGAATATCATACCTATCAAAAGAGTCAAAGTTCTAGCTATAAAGAAATACTTTAGTTTTCCCTCTATGTAGAGGAGTTCTTTGGTCCTATGACTTTGTAATCCAACAACTGACATGAGTGACACTTAATTCAAATAGGATGGGGAATTGCTGTCATGGAGGATCTCTGTGCAGAAGGAAGATGGAAATTCATGGGAGATAAATTAATTACATGAGGAAGATTGCCAAATGCTTCAGCCCTTGATGGGGCAACTTATGAACAAGATGTCACCTGGTTTATCTATTTTTTTGCATAGGCACCCCACTATACTCTAAGTATGAACTTAAAGTCATCTCTATTCAGCAAAGTACAACAGAGAAGATTGCAAAACAGAGAGCACCAAAAAGGCAAACAAACCACCAGTCACGTTATTTGTTATTTCACATTGACCTTGCCATGAGGCTTAAAAGGATTTTGACACTTTCTCTTCAAAGCTGTGTGAGAGAGCTGTGTGCTCTCTCTTCACTTGAGAGAGGTTTTATGACAGAGTCACTAAAAAGGGGTTAAACACAAGTACAGAAAGGGAAAGAAAATAAAGCTTGGCCAAAGTACACACAAACACAAAAAAAGTGGAAGAGATGTACAGTATCTGCTGGTATGTTAGCCCTACAGACATTCAAAGACTACGAAGAGTCACTTTGTTCTCCTTTGTTATACCACTTTGTTAAATGTCAGCTTTTCTTTTTACATATTTAATGCAGACCTTACTTCTTCAAGGGGTTTGACAGAAAAAGTAACTACAGAAATGTTTACAGTTTCATACACCTTTCATTTAGACAGCTCCCACATTGGTGGCAATCTAGTTATGGCAGTAGAGCCAAGCATGAGATAATTTTAGTCGATTTTTACTCTTGTAGAGCAACAGCTGTGCTACAGAGAACACAAAGAATTCTTCTAATTGTCAAGCAGATCGTGCAATTAATTATTAAACATATTTAAGTTTTGCAACTCTTTAAAAGCCTGTCAGTCTCTTAACGTCTTATAAAACCATATTTTCGAAATACAAGTAAAAAAATGCTATTAAAATAATCTACTTTCTAGTAATTATCCTTTTTGCTTTTGCTATTTTTGCCCATTATGAAAGATACTGCTGGTACTTTGCTATCAATATTTTGTTTCCAAGCCTTCTGAAGTAACTGTTTCAATGCTTCACCTTCCTTTGGTGCACTTCAATACTGGAGTGGCAAGTATCCCGAATATGGAGACACTCTCTAGAAGTTAATTGCTTCTCTGTTTCATTTGCACAGATATGTCACTGATAACAGCAATACCAGTGAGGTACACAAAACAATAAAAAAAGTAAAATCCACAGTGAAAGGCATTATCTTCATAAGATTGGCTGTGGTTGGTGATAAATTGCTATTATTTCTTTGACTGGACTATTTTAATCACACAACAGTAACAACTAGAATAGGCCTTCAAAGGTTATATAAGTTGCCTAAAACATTTTCTGCAGAGAGATATGAAAATTAAAAAAAAAAAAACAGGTTTAAAAAAAACTAAAACTGCTCAGCTTGTATATTATATATGTGCATTAGTCACACAAATTGTCAGATGCAAAGTTCAGGCACATAGTGCATTTAAAATACCCACTTAATTTGAAGCATATGAAAAATAGAAAACCTCAATTAAAACAGATCAGAAGCCTTCCCTCCCCCAAAATCATTACCCCACCAAAGAAGACCAGGAAAAACCAATTTGCAAAAACGATGAATTTGGCTCTAGTATTTAACAAACATTTCCACTTAATGACATCCTGACTTATGAATCCCAGTGATACTGAAAACTAACGTGTAATACCTACCTTCTATGGATTTTATTAACTTTTGTTCTGAAAACAGACACAGGTCTCATATTTTTAGGAATAAGCTTTTTTTTTTTTTGGTGGTGGTATTACGCATTCAGCAAACAACCAACCTAGAGGCCAACAAATCTTTTTAAAGTACTTGAAGATGTGAATCTGCTCTTATGTAGTGTTAAAAAGGAAGTTATTTCTCAGAAGTATATTTTTTTAAAATTTCTCTGAGACTGATAGCAGCAGTTCCTTGAATTCAAGTTGATTATTGGTGTGTGAGGCTCTTTCTCTATAACCCCTCTGCACTTCCAAGATATTTTAACTTGAATTGAAGGTAGAATTTCAAAAATTCTATTGTGTTCAACTTATACCTTTGAAAAATCCCATCTTCCATTCCTAGTTTTATGTTGTTCCAAGGTTCAATAGCTGTCCAATATAATTCAAGGCCATTATCAGGGCACCTGCCTCAAAAAGACACCCCTGAATTCATTTTATATTCAGTATCAATCAGGAAAATGTTTGCATGAATTTGTTTGTTTTTTTGTTTGGTTTCTTTGTTTTTTGTTTTTAAAACAGAAACTTTCAGGCATAGTTATGCAAAGAAATGGAAACTGTTATTAATTAAGGATTTTATGCATAGAATAAAATTAGCATCATCAAGGTAGGGTTAGATTAGATGTTTGGAAGAAATTCTTTACTGTGAGGATGGTGAATCACAGGAAGAGGCTGCCCTGACAAGCCGTGGATGCCGCATGCCTGGAAGTGTTCAAGGTTAGATGCAGTTTTGATTAAGCTGGTCTAGTGGAAAGTGTCCCTGCCTATGGAGGGGGATTAGAACTACAGGATCTTAAAGGTCCCTTCCAACTCAAACCACTTCTTGATTCTGTGAAGGATCCATCAGACTACAGTATCTGGTCATTTCACAGAGGGTAAAAGATGTGCTCTTTCCAGTCAAACCCAAAATCTACATCTAATCTGCATTATTCATCAGGAATAGGTATCAGAGATAATGTTTTTATGGAATCTCCTTCATGATGTAAATTTTAAACAAAAAATTTAGTTCTGCTGACCAATAAATATTCTGCAGTTGTGATCAGCAGTTGCTTTCTTCTGCTGACTGTAGGCTCTGTGCCAGGAACACCAGGCTTCTGAGTACACTACCAGAGTAAGAAAAGGATAAACCTTCTTATAATAATACTCCCTTCCTTCATTTAGCTGAATCATAAATACAAACAAATCAACCTAAAATTCCCTGCAATTAGTAATTTTAGTCATTCTTAGCTGCTGAGGAATGGTTCTCCAGACATGTTGTGGTTACCACCTCACCTCTGGAAGAGTAAGCAAACTTGCCTCGTAGTGATTCTCAGGCGTACAGCAACACAATACACCATGATCTGCTCAAGAGCAGTTTCCAAAATATGAAGCAAGGAACAAAGTCAGGAGGGACACAAATTTCTTCTCACAGCCTCAAATTGTTTGTTTCTTTAAGTTTAGCTACTGCATAATAGCAGCTCTTGGTTAAGGTTGCCTTCTTGAATTAGCATTAAGTTTTGAAAACTTGGGAATATGGGATTTACGCTCACTTCAGCTGCTGCAAACACAAAATCCATAAACTCGATTGACACCACCATAATACAAGGCAATAGTTAACATTGTCAAGGGAATTTTGTGCACTGAAATTCAATCGTCTAAGGCTTTCTCTCAAGTCTCCTAAATGTGTCAAATTTCATTACCTATGTTTTAGTATATGGTAAACAACATTGCATCTTAATATATGCTTTCATGTTGGATTTACAAAACACAGTATGGGAAATGAAAGTGACACACACAATGTCCAGGGACAACATTTAGCCTACTGTAAAAAGCCAGTAGCACACTAAAGTTGACCTTAGAAATATTTTTATCTGTTTAACCACAGGTACATAGCAACACAGCTGATAAAAGGAATCCAGGCATTGTTGAATTGTTTTGTAACTTTTTAAAAAATATCTTAAGGGGTTCAAAATATATATAATAGGAAGCATATTGTAAATATCAATATATAAAATAATGAATTATATTCTTATAACTTAATATTTGCTTTCAAGTAGATGTTAAAATTTTGGAATTGTCACACCAGACCGAATAATTTACCCAGATACAGACCTGGGACCACATTGTACAGGGACAGCCATATGTGATCCATGAATGCACAGGTGGGACCCAAGGCAAGTCCCATCAAAATCTACAGAAAAATACTGCTCAGAATCTAAACAAAACATGGGAGATTAAATGTCCTAAAGCCCCGATGGCAATATTTTAGGAAAAAAAAATACTATAAATAGTTTTATTTCTCCAAATCTCAAATCCTCTTCAGACTCATGCTATAAACTTCTGACCTTGTCATATCTGGTGCAAAGCCATCCATCAGTTTCAAAGAATAATGAATGCTGATTTTTATCTAATTTTAAATCACTTATGTTATTTTTAATTTTGCTTAATGTCTGAAAAATTTTGTCTTCTGTTTAAGACAGAAAATTATAAAAATGAAAAATGTCTGGAAAATTATAAATGAAAACAATCACCTAAAAGTCTCTCTGACCATTTTAAAGTCTCACTCACACGACTTCTTCTCTTAAGAATATTTTTCCCAAAATCTGTTTGGTTTTTTAAAATTATTTCTGCTTTATGATCAACATTTTTTTATTATGTGCAATGAAAGATAATGAAAAAACACACTGAAGTAAAATTACGTTGGATAGTGGTGATATTGCCCATTTCAAAAGTGCAAATTTCCCAGAAAACTGTTTTGTAATAACTGAAGCTACTTATTCTTTGAAGTAAAATCTCATAATCATTGTCTTTGCACAGAGGTAAGGAAACAATGACTTATGAAGGCATTTCTAAACCAAACAAACATAACTTGCCAATTTCAAAACTCAAAAATGTTTCCTTTAAAAATTTCTAAATTAAACTCTTGGCCTGTACTTGTTCAAAAAGTATTTTGAAATGTACATCATTTAGAAAAAGAACCCAAAATCCATTTTTATATGTGTATATACATACCTACTACTGACTGAAAAAAAAACCTCTTTCCCCTCCAGTTTTGCTGGGATCTAACCCAAAGTCCATTATTCATTTTTCACTCCATCAGAATGATAAATCTCACCAACCCGACCTCTTACCCTAATTATATAGCATATTGATCAAGTAATTAATTAATTACTCTGAAGTACATAAGTGTAGGAAAATATTTTAAAATTACCTGTTTGAAGCACTGCTCATCTGCCTAAGCCTGGAAAACCTGTGTCCATGCTTTTTAACGTATGTTAAGATTTTTTTTTTAAGTTTTAGAAGGAGTATGTTACTCTTCTTAGAGTTTCTCTTTTGCTACCAGACAAATTTATTCTCAATTTAAAAAGCTGTCAAACAGAATTAAATAATGCTAAAATGCCTTTCCACAGAGACTTAACAGCAATAACGTAATATACATTTAAAAGGGAACAAAATAGGTCCCTAGAGTACGGTATAAAGGACTGAAGATGTGCTGAGTCTTTGATCGTGTGTATTATCAATTAGCACTGTTCTGATCAAACCCTGTGTTATTTACCCAGTAGGAGTCCTGATAACAGCACGTCCTGCAGATGGGATGATATCTCCAGTCAGCATCTTAAATGTTGTGCTTTTCCCAGCTCCATTTGTTCCCAGGAGTCCAAAACACTATCAGAGATATTAAAAAAAAACAAACAGAAAAAAATATTGCCCCTTAGAACTTCTCAACTTTACACATTTCCTATTATATGTCTGTAAGAAACTGTACATGGATACAATGTGTGTGCAAATTCCTTTTCCCATAGAAAATCAGTTGAAAATCCCTCATATATATATATATAATAATTTTGATTACCCCTTAAGTACTAAAAGTGATTCATTTAGGATTCTAGCCCTCCTCAAAACCTTGCCCAACAATTAAACTCATTATTTATCCATATTATTAGTAAATGCTACATTTGAACAGGAGGATTTTAGGTCCTGCTTCCAAACTCTGGCTATCAGTCCCTAGAGTCAATATTTCCAAGCTTCTTATGAGCTGCTTCACTCTGTACAAGTGAACACCAAACATCCGAGAGACACACTCATCTTGAACACTTATTTCAGATCCCCAGCTGCAATAACTAAATGCTAAAGCTGGGATAGGATTCATATTAAATCTACACACAATCCTTTATGATTTTGAAATACTTTTGTCATGAACATTCTTATTGATTGATAGGCTTTAATCAACAATAACATCCTCCTGGTTACCTCAGTTACCCAACAGCTGATCAGTAAGTAGCAGGACATCACTGCACCTGTGCTGCCATGTGCAAGTTTCTCAGATCTTCCAATTTTATATTAGCCACGAAGTAATTTCTCAGTAGTTTAGAAATTAATATCTCTAATACCCCAAAAACTCCAAATAATGAATAAAGCCCCCAAACACAAACATGTTCAACACTAAATTTCAATTTATTGAAATAGTTTATTTGTATATGCTATATTCAAATGTACTGTGATGATTTCAGCACGGGAACTAAAAGGGTGCTGTGGTAATGAATTCAGATCCAGTCCATAGTTTGCTATTGAGTTGGGTATATTCTGTTTTCTCTTTGAGCACTAAACTGCTATGCTACCTTACTTGCTTTTTCTGTTAGCCTATAGTACAGTCATTTGGTAAAGATAAACAAGAAGTAAAAAAATTGAGATTCTGATGAATGTTTAACAAAAAAAAAAGCCAACATGAACAGTTGCTTTTTCAGCATTACCAGAGCTTCTGCTTTTATCCAGTCATTGATTTTCAGAAATTACTACAACTGAAATTTTTCTGCTGCTATCTACAGGCCTACAGCGTGTAGGCACACTGAGTATGTCTCAACAATTGCTCAGAATGAAGTGTTACTTTATAAAAGGGGACAAAGAAAGACCCCTTTACCTCTCCCCTTGGTATGCCCAAGCTTATGTTTTCCACAGCTGTGTTCTTCTTACTGAAGCCTCCGTAACACTTCCTGAGGTTGTACAGAAGCAGGACATCATTAGCAGTTCTTCCACCAAAGAGTCTCTGCCGCTCCATCTCTACATCAACATCTTCTGAAGGGCTGCCCATGCTGTTAGCTGAGCAATGGCCCCTACAAGAGAGGAGGATAATAAGTGATACGTGGCAAACTGGTCATTGCTGCCCTCTGCATAACTCTTATTTCCCTGGCTGTAACCCCTTAGCACTTGGTGATCAATTCTGATCAGCATTCAAGGGGAAAACAACTACTTTTATTTTTTCTGTAGTTTGTATTAATTCAGGTATGCCATGGTATCAGAAGTATTTATCTTCAGTTGTTCAAAGGAACACACCCCATTTTCTTTCTCCAAAAATTAGTTTAGTGCCCGCTGTGGCAGAATACAAATGATAACACACCTTGGTTTCCAGAGGAGATCCCAATGAAGGAAAAGACGTAAAAGAAGCAGTAGTGTTCCCTGAAGGGACATTTCCACAAAAATCCAGCCCAGGAAATCCATCTCAAAGGGACTCACGTAAGAATCTATTCCAAAATTCCTGGTCAAGTCAAATTTGATCTGATTGTACGAAAGTTCTATTAAACCCTGGCCTAGGCAGAATTGTGGGAATATGATGAATGCCCATTTGAGGATATTGTAGATGTTCTGAAAACTCTGTATTAACATGTGGCAAGGATGGAGGGGAATAAAGAAAAAAGGAAAAGAATTAGTTTTCTCCAACAGCCTAATAAGCACACTTGCAAAATTGAATACTGCATTCAAATCTCACTCATGGTAAACTGAATTCTAAAGCACATATTGTGAACTATTCTGGGGACAAGGTTCATATCATATTGCATTTTACTTTCTACATCCATGGCATTCTAATCTTAGTTGAAGTTCACAGAGGGTATCAAAACACATGTAGCCATGATTCTTCTTTTTCCTTAACATTTTAATATTTGAATACTATTGAATCTAAATTACCAACTTAAACTCAAGTGAATACCAAATTTGTTTACCCACTTGCATGACACATAATCCAGATTTAACTTCAAATATCAAGTTTTTGACCTGTACACAAACAGAGAGTCATACTCATTCGGAAACTCCTTTCCATCAAGTGGTTTAAGTACCATTATGACTAATTAAAATTACATACATGGCGTTAGAATGCAGTGTATAAATTACTATTCATACAGTGCATCAGTGATCCTAGGAATATGCAGCTTATCTTTTATGTCAATATTATTCACATTTTACGATGCATATAATCTATTTAATGGACCAGAACAGCTCCCATTATGTGCCAATTACAACTTAATGGTCTAGAAAATGTCAAAGTTTCAGTTAACACTGTTTTTCCATTATTACAGCATGCTTTTTTGGGTTACAGGCAAGTTAAAATTCAAGATGGGAACAGTCAATACAGTATATTCTAGGACTGAAAAATAATGAATATTTTAAAACCACATGGAGTTTTTTTCTGGAAAAATCTTATCTGTATAACTATGTAAACACACAACATATGAACATTCTCAAATATATATATGCATGCATGTCTGTGTATACATCTCAGTTATGAAAAAGGTAAACCAAAGATTTTATACTGACCTGCACTTTGGAAATTATAGCTAACAAGCGAGGTAAGAGGGTCACCAGCATGGTACACAGGCCAAACACAAAATTTAAGGAGATGTAAGAAATAAAAGCTACATCTGAACTTGAGAAGAATCTTGATACAAGATACATCCAAGGTAAAGTTGCATATCTGAAAGTTTAAAGAAACAAAACTGTCACAAATAAGTTATGTTTTTGCCTCACCACCCCCAAAAAAGTCAGTTATCATGCTAGAAAAAACCCACAATTATTGTTCCTTATTTTTAAGACAAACAAACAACTCCTCAGAACAAGTAAATTTTAAAAAGGGACAAATTTGGGATACATATTCTTTAAACAATTGGCTTATACTTCCATAGAAGTATAAGACGTACAAATATTTACTGCCATGTTACACGCAGATATAATCCATTTTTGCATATAGCAGCTGCAGACATTTACTTTAACTGTTCCAGACAGCTCGTAATCCTGATTTCTGAATGACTGTAAACCCATGTACCTTATCAAGCCTCTTACATAAATATAGAATTAAAACCAAACATTTAAAGCTTAAATAATTGATGTTGAGCAGTTATCTTTTCTGAGAGGCTTTTATAAAAGGAAAAAAAATAAGGAGGAAGTAAGGAACAAAGAAAGAGAAGAAAAAGAAGTTAAAAACAATAATTTCTGAACTGGAACTAATATTTGTGCCAGTGATATGTGAGAATTGAAAAATCCTACAGACCATGTTATTACTTTAACCAGGTTGTCAGTAGAGTAATAGCTATCAAAAATGAGTGCATAACACTATGAGCTATGAGGATAAGACAGCATGTCCACAGCTACATCATCTTCAGTGAGAAGTTTTAAAGGAAGGAGGAAGGCACCTCCATTATGACAAGTCAAATTATGCCTATCCACAATGGAGCACACACATGTTTTTATTTATAAGAGATGTTTATAAAGATTAAAACAAGGCCCAGACAATCAGAGCATGCATGCCATGTAAGGAAAATTTATTTTCCATTCAACATAGTGCAAGATATATCTATCAAACAAGCAGTATATAGAATGCAGGAGCATAAGTATCAGCTTACACTATTGCACAGCGATAAGTATATATGCAATGTATATATAAACACTTCCTATACAATAATAAATATGTGTATAACTGGTTTAATAGTGAGCTCAATGCAAGAGCAACTAGCCAAAAATCTGTGAATTCGCATCTTCATTGCCTTAAAATGTAGTTTAGATGACTAAACTAGGCCATAAAAGTCATTTTACTAAATGACTTTAGAATACTAAACTAAGTCATTCCCTTTTGAATTCAGTATTCTGTACTTTATAGATTAATCTTTTGCATTGGAGAATGCCAAAATCCTTTACCTTAAAAAACAAAATTGCAAATTCTGCTGGGAAGTAATAATAATGTTATCTTCAGTTTGTAGGAAGATAAAGGTTAAATGACTCAATGTTTGGGTCTCAAATGAAATTGTAAGTATTCTAGAACCCACGATACTTTTCAGCATCCTTTTCCCAGTCTTCATTATGCACTCCTTTCTTCCCTTCAGTGATACCAAAATCACTGTTCTCAGAATAACAATATAATAAATACAAGTCCATCCTTGGAAACAGCTCAGGAAAGATACATGATTTACAGTGCTGTTGCTGTGCTTTAAATGAAAGCCAAATTTGATTTGTTTGCTTATAGCTGCTAAGAAATGAGTAAGACTTTCAGAATCCTAGTTCCATGATGTTCAAAGGCAGCCTTTAAAGTTGTGGCCAGTAACATCTACATTCCTATCCTCATTCTCTTCCTCCAGCTGCAGCTGAAATTTAGCATTTTCTAAGTATAAAAGACAGAACATTTTGGACAAAATTGCTTAAGCATTCGGACTAGCAAACACCTCTGCAATCATCTAAAAGGCAAAAAGATGCAGTTTAGCTATGTTTTTAAAGGAAATCACTTTTAAAGTAGCACACAAAGAAACTTGATTATTCTTTAAAGTACACTCTCTTATTTTTAACTTTTTTATATAACTGGGCTCTTTTTATCTTTGTTCTAGATCAGAAAATCTGTGCAAACGTACCCTGAAAGAAAAAACATTTTTAAAGGAAAATAATGCAGGTGATGATGGCATGAAGATGAATAAGGATTATATGCACGGTATTGGAGAAGAGTAGAATGGCCACAACAGCCTTGATCACATTTACAGTGTAGTTAGAGTGAATAAAAGGTAGATTAGAAAGAGTGGCAACTCTGAAGTTTATCAGTGTCCTTGAGACATGTTAAACTTACAGACAACTATTGGATCTTTGATATATGTTAATACACATTGAATACACAGATTTCCTTGTTAAAAATCACTGAAACATCAGTTTTGTCAGCCAAAGCTGAAGGAGTACAGGAGGGATTGTATTGAGCTGATTAAGCTGCATCTGCAGTCAACAAAATAAGACCCATTTTCATTCAATGACTGTTTTTCTAAAATACTCAAAGTTTAACTAAACATTTTGGTTAAAACAATGCCAGCATAACTGGCACTTAATAGTACACTGTGAGCAGGACCAGAGCCCATAGCACACCAGAAAAAACCTGCCATGACTTCAGTAGACATACACATCTGTACTGTGTGCTTCAATTGCTGCTTGGCTAAGATTTCTATAGAAGCCTGTGCCTCGTTAATATGACAGCAACTGGAGCACGAGAAGGATTCAATGGTTGCAAAGCTAATTAAAAAAAGGTGTGAGATTTCATTGTGTGAAATCTTTGCACTAAGACGGGCTAGAATTTGTGCCTTTATCTTGAAGGAATCACTGATGGATGTGCAGAAGAAAGGAAGTGAGGGTGATACAAAAGATACAGAGAGAAGGAAATTATGACTTTGGATGTTTCATACAAGTTATTTACAAGATCCTAACATCATGACCTCTAGAATATTTCATACTAGCTTGGCTATTCACATCCAGGAAGACAAGCTCAAACTGGAATTATACAGAAAAATGATAAATAGAATTATGCAAATAATTTTGAAGGTTTTATAATGGAAGTCCTGGCTTGTTTTGGCTAGCAAAAGGCATTTGATGAAGGAAAATTATGAAGTATGCTTCTGCATAAACTTATGCTATAATTTCCAAGAAAAGATCCAGCTTTGAGGATACCTAAACAGTTTAAAAAAAATGAGTTGCTGAAGGCACAAAACCTTGAAAACAATTTCAAAAGGCAATATAGTAAATTGGGGTTTTTTTTGAAGAGTTTATCTGAGACTCTTTCTGGAATAGAACATGTCCTGACTTTGTAGAAAGTCCTTTCTTCTTTCCTTCCCTACCATTCTCGCATGGAGCAGCTATATTTCATTATCTAAACATCTGTCATGCAAGATATGCCCTACAAAGGTACCAACAATTAGTTGCTTGAAATAAAAAATAAACTTCTCAGAAGCCTTCTCCTTTAACAATTAATCTTCAGCATTCCTAACATCACCTTAGACAGCACATGGGAAAAGTTATGAGTCCCAGTATGTTTCAATAGACCTGGGGCTTCTGTCTTTAAATAAAAAAATAAATTTAAAATCAAATTCTATTGGAAATCTTACCCTGAAATCATGGTGCATTACAGAATTTGTGCATGTACAACAAACCTTTAATTTTGCCCCTTGAGTGACACAACAGAATGTACTATTAATTTGATTGATCCCAGGGCTGAACAGGCTTACTTTATAGACATATCCATCCTCTGTTTAACCAGCTATTTTAACCTTCCACAAGAGGTTTTTGGTTGTTTTTTTTTTTTCTTTTTGTTGGTTGCTTGGGTTTTTTGGGGTTTTTTTGTTTTGTTTTTGGTTTTTTGGGCTTTGTTTGTTTTCTTTTTGTTGTTGTTTTCTTGTGAAACTAAGCAAGAGAGTAGCATGGTAGAACTTTCCTCTCTCACAGTACTATTGGGAGACAAATCTCCAATCAGCCCAGTACTTCACATTGGACAGCGTTCTCACTGGAAATATAAACTCCTGGAGATATCTTGAATTACAGAAAATGTATAGACCTGCAATAAAAGCTGTTTCTTAACTTCTTGATGATATTCTGCACAGCTAAGCACTGAAATTCTGACCTATATTATTAATATTCTCTCATTTTCTGGAAGATAACATACAATCAATTTCTAACAACAAACTTGTTATACAGGCTGAGTATCTTCTGAGACGTTTGCACTCTTTTTATTGTGTGTGTGTGTATGTGAGTAAATCTCCCTCCACTTTTTGTGTTTAATTTTCAAGCTCACATTTCAGCCTGTTTTCTCACTATATTTTGCTGAGTCATAATTGGTTACAAAGACAGAAAACCACGTATCCACCGGCAGGTGCAAACTACATCTAAAGATTTGTTTGTTTCTTAGAAGCTGTAATTCCATAGTAGCATTTCCAATCACATACCCAAAGAGTATCAGCAGGAGAACAGTGGCTGCCAAGTTCTTTCGGAAAGTGAAGGCTGATAGCTGGAAGGCACTAATAACACCAACACACAGGGTGACTGGAACCATGTAAAACAGCTAGAAACAGAAATAAAAAAACATTGAGTAGGTGAGCATCCCTTACTGGTCTTACCTAACTTGCATGGAAGTGTTCTACAAATTAACTTCTCCATATTTGCAATACAATTATAGTATAAGTTAGAAATAAATAGGCAGAAGAGCTTGGAGATTTGACAGTCTGCACTTGCTGTGAAACTGCCCCCTACATAAGAAACAACCTGACAAGATAAAATCTGACTACAGAATATCCCCCTTAATCCTATTTCTATTGACCTTTCCAATACATCCATTTAACAAGCTAACTCTTCCAGATAATGAGTCCGTACGGGGCTATTGTTCCAAAACATCAAATTATACTGTGAATACAGAGGCTTGGTTTCAGAAACAGCAGTTTCACTGATTGGTGCTGCAATCATATGGGATAATCATAATGACACAATTTTAAAAGAGATTTTAATGAAGGATCATGTGTGCTGATGAAGCAAATTATATCTTTTATTGGGAATGGACACAATATGTAAAAGCATTACACCCATTAGGCAACAGGAAACTCTGTTTAGTCTCTTGACATAACGGCAACCAAATACTTAAGGGTAGCAGGGTGGGAGTGGTACAGGAGATTCATATCCAAGAATTGAAGAGAGAGGGTTTCTGCTTGCAAATTGCAATGTCAGGATGTGAAAACCAGTGCTCAGTTCCACTTTTAGTGTCTGCCTGCTCTGTGCACTGAACCGGAGCTCACTAGGGTGCTGACTGCCTCCATTTCTGCTTGTGTAATATTTAGCTTTATAGCTTTAACTTAATCGAACTGAGATTCTGAGATACGACTGCAATAGAGGCAGTAAATCAAGGTCTAGCTAAATATTCGGTGTAGAACAACATACTGTCAAAATTAGACTTTCATTCTGAAGTACAATGAAAACCTGTTCCAAATTAAACTAGAGGCCATCATGTCTTTGCTACTGGGAAAACATACTTTTTTAAGAGAAGGGCAATGGAGTAAAATGCAGATGGATGTAATGTTCTCATCTTATTCACAGTGTACCTTTTCTTTGCCATATACAAGTATCATAAAGTACCACCCACAGATATATGTTTCAGTTACACTGAAGCTGTATAAAAATATTGTAGAGAAATCACAAAGCATTTGAGTCCCCGTACTTTTCAATAGACCTAGGGCTTCTGTCTAGAAATAAATAAATAATTTAAAAATCAAATTCTATGGGAACTCTTACCCTGAAATCATGGTGTATTACAGAATTTGTGCATGTACGACAAAACAACTTTAATTTTGCCCCTCTAGTGACACAAGCTTGATCTGAACAAAACGTCTCTAGTTCTCTTTAAATTTTCTTAGCACTTACACTTTTTCCATTTGTTGAACATAGTAATGAATATCATTCATGCCTATAAATACAGTGAGAACAGCCTGATTCTCATGAGAGCAATTTCATAAATCAAATACTTCTGCAGACCTAGTAAAGATTCTGCTACCAGTAATACAGGACATAGCCTGTAATACTTGAAATACGTAGAGGGATTTAAAATTTGACAGTTCATATATTCATGTGTTCAGTGTCCCTAAATGATCTGCAGCACAATTAGCATTTAAAGCAGTGTCTGTTCTTTCCCACATCATGATTGATCATGCAGTACTGTGTTGAATTTGTGAGAACATTTTGGGAGATTGACAGAAAATAATGAGGAGTTGACTTTGTTCACAAGGAGAAACTGAATGATGAAGGACTGTTTTTAACCAAGTCTTCTTATCTGAAGCAGCAGCAAAAAGAAATAGCAAGATTGATTGGCCAAGTAAATAACATTTTGAAAAATGTCCTCTTACCTCAAGATTGCTCAAGGATGAAAATTCTGATTTCAAGCATGGATGGGTAAAGATCTAATGTTTCAGAATTAGAACGGTCTAAATGAAAACAGTGTTCCAAAAATTTCTGTTCCTGACCAGTGTATCATAGAATCCAACCTAAAGGTTGGAAAGGACCTTAAGAGCATGAGGTCCAACCATTAATCCAGCACTGCCAAGTCCACCACTAAACCATGTCTCTCAGTGCCATATCTATACAGCTTTTAAATACCTCCAGAGATGGTGACTCCACCACATCCTCGTGCTACTGCTTCCAGTGCTTGCCACAAGTAAAAGGTACCAATCATACATATCTCTCATATTATCCACAACAACACATAATTATCCCTTAAAGTAGCTGACTAGTATTTTCAGTTTTCTCCACTAATTTGTAAGGTTTTGCCCCTGCATGGCAAAATCCAAAGCATAGAAATTCCTGCTATGAGCTGCTGTGTGGAAGATTCTTTCTGTCTAGGCTGATTAACCAACTTCCTTTTATTAGCTAAAGCTACCAAATCATTTGCAATTCTGCTTTGGGAAGCAAGGAACACAATCCTTGCCCAGCATTAAAGTAGGAATGGTGACTTAGAGTTTGTTATCATGTCAGCCAAGAGCTGTGTACTCTGTGCAATTCAAATCTTATTCGTGTATCTTGTGACCATATCTCCTTTTGGTTATTTATAAGAAACTAGCCTAAAATGTACACCTGAGCACATCCTGCCCCACATAATACATACCATATCACAGCAGAAGTTAGCAAGCCAGTAAGTTTTGTAACCCAGGCCTGTGATGTGTTGCAAGCGTTTTGTCCCAGATACTCTGTCTTTCACTGTGGCAGTTCCGATGGATGCAGTGAGGATTGAGAAACCCAGCATGATACACAGTGCCACCCCACACTGACGGATGTTCTCCATTCTAGGGTAAGAAGCAAAACAATGCAATGGAAACACAACGGGGAAAAAACCCTCATTTTTCAGGCCAACTTCTCACCAAAACACTAGGACTGGACATTAGGACCTTAATCCTGACTGCAAACACCATAGAATCACAGAATGGTTTGGGTTGGAAGGGACCTTAAAGATAGCCCAGTTCCAACATCCTGCAATGAGCAGGGACACAATGTCTCCATACTGTCAACATCTAATTAAAGAACAGGAACAAGATGTGCTAAGTTACAAAATTATAGGTGAGTTACAGAGCACAGCATGCATCCGAGGTGTAAAGTGAAGCTTGTGCAAATATTTCCCCTTTACAGAAAACTAAAATTTAAACCCTCAAAAAATCATTTGAAAGTTACCTTATTTAAAACTGTTATGACACACTCAGCATAAAATCAGTATATTTCTTTACAAAATACTGCAACCACTTTTGGTATAAACAGTGGGCTTGACAGACAGACCACACTAAAATATTCTTCCCTTAGTAGAACAGAATTGTGTCTATCAATTCACAGCATCTATTGCAGGAAGTATATATTATTATTTAATTGATAGTTTCAGTTGTCTGCTGTGAAACATTTCAAGAGTTTGCTCACATTTTATCCTCATCCAACAAGGCTCCTCCATATGGTTGGCTGTAGAGTGTTATCCCTGTGAAAAGAAAAATAAATCATAAAATATTAAATCTTTTTAAGCACTCCAAGTTCTGGCGTATACTGTTAACACTTGTTACACATATGAATAAAAAGGCTAAATACTTAGTAATCAACAAAAAGAGGTCAAACCCCAGTTTTCAAAACTAAACCCAGTCTCCTATTGAGTGATTTCCAGAGTTTGGAGCCACTAAAAACTCATGAATAAACATAAGTAGTAGCTGCTTTTCTGTGTTATGAAGTTCAGAAATTGGTTCAACAATGCAATATATTGCTACAAAATCTACATCACAGAAGAGACCAAATATAAAATCTAAAGTAGAATTTGTTTATATACCTAATCTTCTGGGGTAAGGTAGGTTGTTACTGCAATTTATACACTTGGTGAAAATTTTAAATTAGACTTTTCTGCAATTTTTAGATTATTGATGTTTTGCTGAGAAAAACTGTTTAGCTAAATTCACAAGAGAAAAAAAAAGTCACACCTTTGATTGAAATTTTAGAGCTCTACATTAAAATCATACACAGCTTAGGAGACCAAGAAAAATCCTGAGCAGACAATGCATTCTTAGGTTTATTTTGGTTCTTGGTGCAACCAACCTGTAGCAATCTAGCAAAAATAACTTTGGAATTGGAAGGTAGTTTATGAACAACAACTGTGTCTTTTTGCTTTTTTTCTTTTCAAGCAAAAGAAGAAAAATGGTGGGGGGTGAAGGTGCAAAACATTGTCACTGAAAAAGTTGCTGTTCCACTGGACTTGATGCTGTTTGTGACTTACCTCTTCTGGTGTGCCTGACAGATGTGCCAGCTGTGCTGGTTTTGTGCTGGACAGAATTAATTTCCTTCACAATAGCTGACATGGGGGTATGTTTTGGATTTGTGCTGGAAACAACGTTGATAACACAGGGATGCTGTTATCCCTATTGCTGAGCCGCCCTTGGAGCCAAGATATTTTCTGTTCCTCTCCCATTCCGCCAGTGAGGAGAACAGGGAGGGTGCACAGGGAGCTGGGGAGGGGTCCCAGTGGGACAGCTGACCCTGACAGACCAAAGGGACATTCCATACTATATGGCATCATGTTCAGCCTGTAACATGGGGGAAGATCGAGGAATTGGAGGAATGTTTGGAGCTATGACATTCGCCTTCCTAAGGCAATGTTAGGTGTGATGGGGGCCCTGCTCTCCTGGGAACGGCTGAACACCTTCCTGCCCATGGGAAAGGCAGAATGAATTCTTTGTTTTGTGTGTGGCTCTTTTTCTTTTTTTTTCTTTAAGTATTAAAGAGTCTTTATCTCAACTTATGAGTTTTATCACTTCTAATATTCTCTCTCACACGCCGCTGGGGGAGAGTAAGCAACTCGCTGTGTGAGTAGGACTTAAGTTAAACCATGACATCAGCATTATTTGATTACTGGCTAAATAAATCTATGCTGTTCCAAATTAAAACAAACAAAGAAAAAAGCTTAGTCCTAATAGCAATTGTAATTGTTCCAGTACCTTCAGTAAAGATATAAATTGATGGTAGCCCTAGATTTTCTCTGTGGGGCACCCCTCAATTGAATTTGTTAAAGTCCAGATGCATAGAGACAAAAATATCTTCATTCTAGTAACAGGTGCAGTTTGACTAAGCACACATTTATTTTGCCCCTTTAATTTTTCTTTCCTCATCTCCAGGACAAAGTAATCTAAAAATCATTAAGTCACTGCATGGTAAAAAGCTGAAAAAACAGGATGAAGATTAACTCACACACAAAACTTGTACACGATAAAGAGTTTTCAAATAATAGCTAAACGCAGTACACTGAAGCCCAGTAGTAGTTAAAAAAACAAAAGAAGATTCAAGTCAATAACGTTTTGATGTATCACTAGTAGATACCTTGCTATTTGTAGAAGTCTTTCATGTCATGTGCCTTCAGGCACTGTTTAAAATTTTCCTTTGTTTTTCTTTTAAAGCATTAATTTTTTAAACAATTGCTGATATTTGTTCTGAAGCAAAACTGGCATATCAAAGAAAATTATTTTCTCCCACTGGAACCACTAAATTTCCATTTATGTAAAGCAGAAATAGCATGACAGAAAAAAGTTTTGTTTAGTTCCCAGGAAGTTTTTTCTAGGCTTTTCTAATGCGTGAATAAATGTGGGCATATTAGAAGAAATAATCATAGAGTATGGGGAATTGGAAGGGAGCCAGCAGGATCATCAGATCCAACTCCTGACCCCACACAGGACACCCTAAGAGTCACACCATGTGCCTTAAGAACATTGCCCAAACACTCCTTGAACTCTGCCAGGCTGGTGCTGGGACCACTCCTCTAGGGAGTCTGTTCCAGGGCCCAATTACCCTCTGGATGGAAAACCTTTTCCTTTAGGATAACCCAACCTAAACCTCCCCTGGCAAATTCCTTGAGTCCTGGCACTGGTCACAAGAGTGAAGGGATCTGTATCTGCATCTCTACTTCCCCTTGTGAGGATGCTGAAGACTGCAATGAGGTCTCCCTTCAATTTCCTCTTCTCCAGGCTGAGCAAACCAAGTGACCTCATTTGCTTCTCATGCAGTGTCCCCTCCAAGCCCTTCACTATCCCTGTGGCCCTCCTTTGGGTGCTCTCTAATAGCTTAATGTCTTTTTTATATTGTGGCACCCAAAACTGCATAAAACATTTAAGGTGAGGCCACTCCAGTGCAGAGCACAGCAGGACAATTCACTTCCTTGCCCAGCAGCAAGATCTCAGAGGGGAACTAACAAAACTTTCAGATTACTGCATCGGTATTAAACAAAAGTCTACAGTAGCTGACTTGTGTTCCATATATGCAAGTGCACTGCTTTAACTTTCTAGTACAGAATAAAGGGAAACTGTGAAAAAAAGATAATTGCAGGGAAAATAAAAACCCATGACATTAAATAGCATAATGCTCCTATCAGTATTGTATCATACAATGCCAATCAAAAGGCAAATTTCACTGAATTAATTTCCTTCTATGGAAGAGTCACGAAAACTAATCACATTTCTTAAAAGTAGCAAATACTTATGACATTCAGCTTCCATTCAAACCATGTAGATTAAACAAAGGATTACATTTTCTTCTAATTTACACTCACAGCTGAAATTAAATTTCACAAGGTCATGGAAAACAAGTAAGAAAAGTATGACTGTGCTAAACTAAGTTCAGTTGTGTTTAGAATCCAAAATTCTATCACTGCATTAACTATAATACTTGCCTTTACTTCAGTATTTTAAGTTTTTTCATGTAGTCTGGAGCATGACAATCTCTGAATTTGCTACTTTTTTAGCATAATGATTTCTTCTCTCCACCTCATTGTCATAAAATAGATTATCAATTTATATAAAGCCAATCAACTGGCCTGTAATTTGCAGAGAAAAAAAGTTCCCTTGAACTCAAGAAAAATGTTATTAATTTTCTTCAAATACCAGATCAAACCAACAGAATTAGTAGATGGTATTTGCTATTATATATATATTTTTTATTTTAAAAACCCTTCCATGTGCTTATATAACCTATCCCTTCCTACAATTCTTCTAATCACCTAGACCATCTCTTTATGCATATCTCTGTCCCAATCCAGCTGTTAACATGATGTAAAATGTACTTATTGATACTTTCTTGCCTTTATATGCCTTTTTACTATGTAAAACTGTTATAATGAGGCTCATTAAGTTGAAAACTATCTGCCATCTTTGAGGACTTTAAAACTATAAATGACAGATAAACTCAGAAGTCCTAAATTATAAAGCTCCTATTAAACAGATGCTTCTGGTGTTTATGTAAGGATTTTTTAAGGACTGTACTTGCAAACCTTGTGTAAATAGCCCTTAGGGCAAATTTTACCATATCAGTATTCACAAGGGAAGAGCAAGTCAGGCAATAAGACCAAATATGCTATGATTCAGCACTAACTCTGTCAGCTACTTTTCATAAATTTCTCAGTATAAAAATTATTTCTTCCACATCTACAGATTGCCATTATATTCTCCTGACTTAATCACAACAAAAATTTTCTTTAATGTCCTAAAACTTCCTTTGTCTCTGTCCTCAACATGCAGTTGGTCACATTATTTTTACAGTGATGACAGGCTTTTTTATGAGCACAGGTGAAAAATTGTAACAGACACCCATTCCAACCTGTCCAAAACCCTGCAAAAGCAATTCAAGAATGGGAAAAACTGTGACCATGTAGAATCTTACATTTTAATGCTCTATTCAGAGAGAACGAGAACACTATGATGAAATACTTTTTTAGACCTTTTAACCTTCTTTAATATACAAATGAAAAGTTTCCAAAATGAGGGGCATGATTTCCCCTCTTTGAGCAGAGTGAAGAGGAGGGCACCTCAAAGAAAGGAACGTCTCTGTATGCATGCTAGTTGATATAATTATGTGTGTATAGTTCTGAAAAGGAATGAACCCAGATGTCAATCCCAACAGAGAGCACAAGCAGCCAGTTACTTTGGCAATATATTTTCTTAGCTTTTTTTCCTCCTATGAAGCTTCTCTTTCTTTCTTTTCTCAGTGGTTTTGCCAATAGTTAACTATGTTTTTATGTCTTTTTTTTTCCCCCTCATTTTTGTCTTTCATTAATTTAAAAGGCTCAGTTGTTCTCTCTTGTACTGCTCAGTGAAAGATTTTGCTTTGTACAACTGAGAACAAGGGCATTTTTACCAGTCCTGCAATGGAAAAAAGAGGTGAGAAGTAATCAGCTTTACAGTTTACCATACTTTACAGTTTAAGTTTCAGGAGTAGCACAGCTGGGGCCTAGGCAGGAGAGTGCATTTACTTTGAAAATGTCACTAGAAGTCCCATGCTACATGCTTAATAGTAGAAGTGGCAAACTATTCATTGTACCCTCTTCAGCTTCTCTATGATTTCCCTTTTGTATTCTCCCTTCCAGGTGGGACAATCCTACTCCTTTTCCTTACATTGTTCATTATAAACAAATTTTAGATACTAATTTGTTAAAAAGGCATTCCTAAACTAGTGAAATAAATTATTTATAAAACATTAGAAGGATTGTAACATTTCCTACAATAAAATACTATACTTTTCCATTCCGGATAGGAAAGCATACAGGAAAAAGGAAAATGCATCCACATTAGACAAGTTTGCTGTGAACATTCAGCATCCTGCCCTGTTGGCATTCCAGAGCTGCAGAACAACACCTTTCCCTATACCAACATCTTATTAACAGTCTGAAATCTGTGCCTTCAAGAGAAATTGCTCTAGATCTTTCATCTCACATCTAAACCAGTGACCCTCTGTCAGAAAATAAAGACATGCACAATTTAGAATAACTTTAGAGTGTTAGATGTTTCCATCCTATACATGATAAAGAATAGAAAACATTGGTATTCCAGTCCACCCCACCTGGGTGCAGCTTTCCACATAAAGACATTTCAAAATCTGTGGTTTTTCAGTAAAAGTGAGGAAAGTGATATGAACCCAGCAATACGTTTTTAGTGTCAGTTGGAGAAATCTAGATTAAAAAAACCTTAAAGCTCTTCAAGCTTGTATGACATTACTGTAGATTAGTCAGAGCTGTCCTTAAGTCTATTTTGGGGTTCTGCCCCGTATTCTGGGGCTGTCTAAATCTTGGCACTTCTTTGCAAACCATTTTGTATGCCAAGCTGAGTCTTGCATGCATAGATCAGTTTAGATCTCTGCTACTGATTCTGAATACCACGATTGTGGCAGACTTGAATAGAAGTGCAATCTAGCTTTCTTTATTCCAGACATTTTATTTCAGATTAAATAAAATATGTATAAGAAAAATTGAGGTAGTGTATATTTTATATATGTACGTGTGTGTGTGTGTGTGTGTGTGTGTGTGTGTGTGTGACAATATTTCTATTTATATAAAATGAGACATTACTATTAAGTGAAAATTACAATTTCTATTTTATGGAGAATTTCACAGGCAGCACCATCATTAATGGCTTCTATTTTAGTTCCCCAACTAACTAGACATGGCTAAGGATGTTCCACCCTAAGGCCATTTCACAGTTTCCTTTTTAATAAGGTTTAAAGTTATAATTTGCAAAGCATTCAGGAAACAGCCACTTTCCACCAAAATTCATGTGAAAATGACTCCCTTGATCTCTTCTGCTCTTTTGAAGAATTGAATACGAAATAAATGAGAATGCTACATGAAAGCTTACAATGAATCCTAGTATTAAAGGTTTTTTTAAGAATCAATGACTTCAATAGAAATCTTATGATGGGGCAGCTGCATTGCAAAAGGCTCTTCATTTTTGTTCTTTGAACAATGATGTAAAAAATTTTTTGACCGTTCTACTTTACAGACATCATTATAAATGACAACCAGTCCTTTTTTTTTCTTTCTATAGCCTTAACCTAACAGGGAGATTATAGTCCTTCTTCTATAGTCCAGCATGATAAACACATTCTGACTCAATGTTATACAATTAGGTGTGAAAAATAACATTTTTTTCCTTGGTCAAAATGTCTATCTTAAGCTTAAGCAAAAATATTACCTTTTAGTTTTTTAATCCTCTTACTTCATTATTGCATTTTTATTTTCTCACAGTTACATTACTTAGTTGTAAGAAAGCAGCATTTCAGAAAGAGATTAGAAAATATCATTCATATAAGCTTGAATACCAGTCAAAGGTGAAGGGTTTTGATAAAAATCCAGCACATCTTAGTTTCTTTGTTGAAGAGTCTTACTAACTTTTTTTAAATTAATTTATTAACATATTTATTTTCATCATCTGTCACTGAATTTATAACCCACTAGAAAACAGAATGCATTTGATTTCCTCCACAGTTGAGACAGATGACTTTTTCCCACAATGGGATCACAGACTTATATGATGATGAAGGTGTGGGGATATCCACATTATAGAAAAAATTACATACTTTCATACAAGAAGTATTACTGAACTGCTGTTCCAAAAGAGACAGCTAATCCATTAACTACAATAAACTGATATAAACTGACTGGGCCAGTTTCTGTTGCTCCATGGAGTTATATACACCTCCAGCTGGGCATAAACATTTTCTTCAATAGACACACCACTCTTTACATAAAAATTACAAGAAACAAACATTGTAACTTTCCAAGCATCCTCACAGAGAAATTTACCAATAATCACAAATTGTTGAAACACAAATGTGAGGAGAAATCTCTCTACTTGCAGAGAAAGTATTTGAAGATCTGATTACACAGTAGCAAAAAGGACAGATTTTTTAATCACTAAATAAATATAATTTCCTGCTTCTGCATGCTGAAGGTCAGTAACTTAGACTGACAGAACAAAAAATAATAATTTTTTTCAAAGCTTTCTGAATAGATGCAAATCCCTATGGATTTCTGTGTAATTAAAACCAGTGCAAGGCAGCATATGTCCTCTATAGTATCGGGTAAAACTTTTTCATTCAAACTTTCATACCAAATCATAAGTCTATATTCCTTGTATTCTCATGACTGCAGAAAATACTTTAGACAAAAGCAATAAGCGTCCTGCTCAGCTCCTTATTATCAAAACCTCCCACAAACTTGGACCAGTGCTACTGACGTCCATTGGAAGTTACTGGATCTGTCCTTGTGGGCAAAGCAGGTAGAACTCAGCATGTGGTTTGTAATGACTGCTCCCTCCTCCAAACATCTTGGGAGAACTCAAACTGGGTTCATGCTCAAGAAATACACATAGGATACAACTACAAAGTGAAAGGGTTGCTTTGCTTTTGTATGAGCACTTAGGTTGTTGATCTCATTGACCTCGCTCAAGTTTGTTTCAATATCATAGTTGCTCCTCTTGTGTTTACATCCATGGCAACGCTCTACTTTATTGTAGTAAGTTTCTTGCTGCATTTTTTTTTTTTTCTTGGTAAAGGAAGAAAAGACTTTGTCCTCACAGTCCCTTTTAAAGGGGCAAATTCTCTTTATGTCACTTAAAAGTAATACAGGGGCACTGGTTCTGTTGACAGGAAGAAAGTTGTTCTGTGAAATAACATGTCATTAATGCAAGGCAGAACTACAAAGCCACATTTATGCAACATCTTAACAAGCTTCCTCACAGCAATTTCCAACAATATTCTAGAACTGACCTTGCCTATAAACAGAGTTTACAGGCAGAAGAAGATAAAAAGTCAAAACTAACAGACTTCAGTGTAGGAACACAGCATGTGGTCTTCTGACTGCTGACTTACAGGACTGCATATAACAATTTGAATAACAAAAGCATATGAAAAGTTCTTCTCTATTAAAAAAAGTACCCTTAAATAAGAGAAAGTTAAAAATCAAAGTGAACTGAGATCAAGAGGCCCATATGGCACTGGAAAGCTGTTGAGTTTTTAGAAATAAAATATACGTACGTAAGGATCTCCACAAAAAATACATACGTATACATGTGTGTACATACATGCACACACATATACAAACATGATACAATACATACATGCACATACATAAGTAGGTAACTTGACCTCTCTTCCCAAGATTTCTGTGACAGCTCTCTCTGTGTTATGCCTCAAAAGAGTGATCAGTCCATCTTTATTGCACTTCTCCAATAGATGAAGACATAAATGAATTACTTTCTAGTTCTTAAGCTCTACTTCAGCAGGCAGCTAACATATTCTGCTACAAGATTATACAATGAGCCCATACTTGTACAAATGTCAGTACAAGACTTGAAGTATTTCTTAAGCACTGTTGTGCTTGCTGTGTCATGCAATGTCAAAAAATACATAATTCCCACAATCTTTGGGATAGCTATCATTTTCTCTGAATGTAAGCAGGACAGCAAACCCTGATTCTCCATAATAGATATAAAAGGAAGGGTACACAAACATTTATGTTCCAGAATGGGATCTAATGGTACAGAAAAAAAGCTAGCCAGTACAACTGATTAAGTGCAGAGAAAGTTGATTAAAAATTCATTAAAAATTCTCATTAAAATATCTAATTTCGTTCAAAGTTTCTGTGTAAGTGCATTACCTTTGATCCATTCTCATAATTCATTTAGAAAAATAAAACCCCAGTCATCTTGAAAGCAAGCCATTGTTGTTTTTTCTTGGACGTTCCAGAAAGTTTTCTTAATGAATCTCTATTTTTAGATTCTCAGGATTCCTTGCCCGTTTTCACTGATTTAGTCTTATTTCTTCATTATAGAAACACTTTAAATCATTTTACCATTACAGACAAACTGTCCTAATGTTACAAGTACTCTTAAAAATTGGTCATAAGCTCTTTTTAAATTTCTCTAAACCAAATTCCTATTTAACAGAATCTTAAGAGTGAAAGGAACTGGAATGAATAGGAGTTAACCTGAACTTCTGAAGTTAATCAAGGCCAGATTTCAAACTAGATTTCCACATCCTAAAATTTCATCTGTATTGACAGGTGAGTCTTTGGCTGCAGTCATTATTTTTTATGTCAGTTCATAAAATTTTTACTTTAACAAATTTTTATAAATAATAAGACATAGTATCTTTTCCTGTTCCTTGAGTAACAGGATGCTGTGAAGCATCACATTGCTGTGTGAATTTACAGGCTATTATGGATTTGCCCTGGATATTTATATAAGGAGATTTAGCAAAGTGCCAAAGAAGATATAAATCCACAGTCTGTTGTGCCTTAGTCATGCCATTTAAGTAAGCCCTAGCAGCGGTTTCAGAGGGACTAACATCCCAAACCAATTTACACTTAATTATTCCACAAGAATGTCTTTGTAAAGAACTTATATGGCACGTTGAGCTTTAAAATCAAATTTTACATTACTTATACTACATTCTCCACATAAACTTTCTGTGTAATTAAGATTTTTACTTTTCAGTCCTCCAAAGAGATGAGACTCTGAAATCCTACTGTAAACTGAAAGATTTTCACACTTATTATAGCTTATTTAAAAACTACTTTCCAAAATACATTAAAAACACAAAGAAATAAGATTACCATACTGTCTCCAATCCACATTAGAAGGTAAATTCAGCCACAGAACAAAGTTATTGAGTTCATTTAAGTAGGATGGCAGTGAATGGAAACCTTTTTGGTTATACCACACCTGAAAGAAAGAATGGAAATTGTCAATCAAAACTTAGTTCAATCTGGATGCTGCTCTGCAAGATCACATACCTTTAAGAATTGCATGAAGGATATCTAATTCCTGTTATGATGTTTATTTATAAAAGAAAGTCAACCAGGCACAACAGAATCTGTTGATTTGCATAGGTCTTTGAACAGTATGCAGCAGTTTTCTATTGATAGAGCTGTACACATATGTTTATTACTAAATTGAGATTCTCTGGATTAATGGAACAGTGTCCCCCTACCTTTACACACGTGGTTGAACAAATAAAGACAGAACAATATGAGAATAACACCTGCCAATTGGATCAAAAATACAAAAATATGAGTAAAACTAATGCTAAAATTGGAAGAATCATTGAAATTCCAAAGAGACTTCTCTAAATAATACCTGCATGTGACACACAGCATAAAATATCTCAGAACAGAATATTCTAGAAAGAGGGGGAAAAGAAAGAATCAAATAGGAACTGTTTACAAGGTATGAAGCTGTTCCATAGAAAAAACTGTCTTCACCTTCAACAAGCATCAGTGGCTTGTTAACCGTGGAGGAAACTGATGCAGACAAACTTTAAGGCTTTAATTACCAAGCCAGTCTCTCCGAGGAACACAGGGAAACAATTCTGTTGTAACATATAATTTATCTTCAGATCACACACTGACTTGATGAAATACTCTTAATCCACACTTCCACTTGCAAGAACCATTGCTGAGAGCTTGATATGTCCCAAAACCAAATGTACTGAGGTTTGAGTTTCCTCTGCAGTTATAAATTTATTTTTATCATTCATTACTCTTAATCATAGTGCCTTTGAATCTATATTATTCATATTGAAAACGAGGGCAAATTATTGTGTATGTTTATTTTCAGTTTCAGTGGCATTTAAAACCATCTGATTACTATCCATTTGTCACCTCATAACACCCTTTCTTATCTCCTTTTTTTAAACACTTGAAAAACTCTTAACATTTCCCTCTTTGATATCAGCTGTTTGTACATCCTAGGTAGAGCAATTCTCACTGTCTCTCTGTACTCTGAATAATTTAAAGTGAACAGGATTTAATATACATCTTTATTGCCTTAACAGTCCTCTTCTAAGATTTCAGTTTTTTTAGATTAGTTCTAGAATTACCATCTATGCAGTTACATCTAAGAAATTTCCTTAAAGATTCTCTTATCAGTCTTTTGATGCTATTTTCATTTACTTGCAGATAATTCTGCCTTTTTTTCCCCCTCTTTTTTCTTATACTATCCAACTACAAACCTTATTTGGACCCTAGTTCCAGACTTGGACTATTTTTTCTGACACATTCTCCTCTATATTTTCCAGTGCAGGCTGCCTAATTTTCAGTTCTTTTTCCCTTTCTCAATAACAATTTTCTTCTGATTAATTCTCCTGACTACCTACTTGTTTGGATCGCCACATGTTTGTGAGGTAAGGTTTATAATATTCTGACTCTCCATTTTATTTTCTCCCATCTATCCTAGATCATGATTCCAAGAACCACTCTGAGGTCGATTGTCATTTCTTCTCTGCCTCTCACCTTTGAATCTCCTTCACCACAAGCTCTGTTAATCATTAAAAAAAAAAAAATTAGCAGCTTTGAGCTGCCATTATTCTTGCCTGCATTACCTTTAACATTTTCTGCTCTTCTTTATGTGCTGTTCACAACTGCTTGAGATCTCAACAGCATGATCGAATCATCAAGGTTGGAAGAGGCCTTTAACATCATCAAGTCCAACCACTAACCCAGCACTCCCGCTCTAACTCCTAGAACATTAAACTACATCACCCAACATTAGATTCAAACACCTCTTAAACACCTCCAGGGATAACTCCACCAATTCCTTGGGAAAACTATTCCAATTCCAGACCCCCATAACAGTAATTTTTTAATATCTAATCTGAATCTCACCTGTTATAACTCAAGACAATTTCCTCTTATCCTGTCTCCAGGCACAGCAGAACAGACCAGCCACCGCCTCACTACAGCCTTCTTTCAGGGAGTTGTAGAGAGGAATGAGGTCCCCCCAAGATTCTTGTTCTCAAGACTAAACAAACCCAGCTCCCTCAGCCATTTCTCATAAGACATGCTCTCCAGACCCTTCACAAACCTTGTTGCCCTTCTCTGGATACACTTCAGCACCTCAGTGTTATTTTCAAGTGAGGTACCCAGAACTGAACACAGTACTTGAGGCACAGCCTCACCCATGCTGAATACAAGCGGAAAATCATTGCCCTGGTCCTGCTGGCTATGCTATTCTTGATACAGGCCAAGATATCATTACCTGGGCACACATTGGCTCATATTTAGCTGCTGGTCAACCAGCACCCCAGGTGCCTTTTCTGCCAGAAAGCTCTCAAGCCACCCCTCCACTAGCCTGCTGGGTAGCTGGGACACAAATGTTGCATTTCACCTTATAGAACCTCATGTAATTGTCCTCATCCCAATGACTGAGTCTGTCCAAATCTCTCTGAAAAGCCTTCCTACCTTCAAGCAGATCAACACCCCCACATAATTGAGTGTCATCTGCATATTTACTGAGGGTGCACTCAATCCACACATCCAGATCACCAACAAGGATATTAAGTAGGACCAGCCCCAAACCTGAGCCCTGGGGAACACTGCTAGTGACCAGCCATCAAGTGGATTTAGCACCACAACTCTCCTGCCTAGCCATAGAGTCAGTTTTTTACCCATCAAAGAGTCAGCCATCCAAGCCACAAGAAGTCAGTTTTTCAAAGAGCATGCTGTAGGAGACCGTGTCAAATGCTTTAAAAAGTCTGGACAGACAACACCTGCAGACAGCCTTTCCTTCATCTGATGAGCAGGTCACTTTGTTAGGGAAGATCAGGTTGCTCAAGCAGGACCTGCCTTTCATAAACCCACATTTTCTGGGCCTGAACCCCTGCATGTGCCATGTAATAGAACTCAAATGTCTCAAACTCTTATGCCCTCACATTTAAAGAAAAAGAACAAACTCTAACATCTTCCCCTCTTTGCAGAGTCATGAAATTCCTTTGTTGTTCTCCAGTTCAGTTCCCACAGCTTATTACATAAATTATATCTCCCATTCATTAATCAACAAGAGAAGTCTTTAAAATGCAGTGAAAGAGAACCTAAGATTCCTGAGGAAAACTGAAAACTTTGCACTGCAGGACCTTCTGTGAAAATAGCAACCAGGGCAAAAAGACAGAAATAAGTGATCAAGGGTAACCTGTCTTTCACAGCCCCATACATCATCTCTGATTCTATCACTTTTTGAAAGGTTTTCACAGAACAGAAAGTTTTATATACATATATAATGAAACTCCACTGCAATTGTGTCTGTTGTATTGGGGGAAAAAAAGGCAATTAAAAAAACAACAAAGTAAAATCCTGACAACACATCCTCATTTAATTCAGGCAGGGGAAAGGTCACAAATATTCAGAAAACACCTTTGAAATATAGTAACGTAACCAGTATTCAAATGAATACCACAATAGAACATTGTGTGTAACAATATATTTCAATAGCCAACATGTTAATTAGAATTATCCTCCAACCTGCATTATGTAGCTGAATCAAACTGTGAGGAAATAACAAAATTGAAGATGGATATTTAATTTATTATAAACTAGGGAAAAGAGACATTTAAAGTTGTTCACTTCATCAGAAGGTCTTTCTTCTAAAGACTTATTTCTTATTAGAAATTGTTAGCAAAGGTAAAATATAAAAAAACCTAAAATGTATTAGCTCTCACTTAAACATCTTTCATATTCCTTTTGTGCCACACAGGTAATTATTTACAGAGGGCAGAAAGGAGCTGAGGAACAAAACTACATATATCAGTATAATTAACTTTTATTTTATTTTCTATTCTATCTCTAGTTAGGAAAATTCTTTCCCAAGGAAAAACACAACCCCTCACCACATCAGACTGGAGTTCTGTGGAGACATGTTTTACATTATTACATAATCTTTTACTTGCCATTAAAATTCTAGAATAAATCTAGACTGACATTTCAACTAACATATGGCCTACCAAGAAAAACAGATGAGAAGGAGCAGAGAAGTCCCTAAGCATTGCTGGACCAGATTCATGATTGATATTAAACTAGAAAGATGTAATTTTTTTCCTCTGAACGCTTGTACAATTACTGTACTGTAAACCCTCAAGTCCAAATCTTTGGGATTGGAAAAATGTACTCTTCCAAATGACAACTGAATACTACAATTTGCCTCTTGGCAGTATTGAAAATTACCACATGTTCTTCCTATATTTCATTATGCTATAAAAATCAGCAATTATGAAGCTATCAAGGAAAAGAAATTTGGGCCATATTGCCAAAGGAAGCCAAAGAATATACGGACATGAAAATATAAAAAAATTTGACAAGTTGTGCTTTTGCTACATAGCAATCATCGATGAATGCCAATAATCAATGTTTTTAATAAGCCATATTTGTCATGTCATAGATATATTCTCTCTCTCTTGTGCACATATACACATTCTTTATGTGCATGCATATACCATATATGTAGTATACCAGCACAATATGGTTAGGTACAGTAAAATAGTTACTAAAGAAATATTTTTAATTTGAACAAGAAAAATTGTTGTTTTCTCAAGTACTGGAGAAGAATGTATAAAGATTCAAAAATTTTCTAAAATAAAGTGAATCATACAGTAATTCTCTTCAAATGCAGATTTCTCATTTTCTTTCATAACAGGCTATGTAAATGATACGTTCATTGTCTCATGAACAAACCTGAAAGGTCAAAGTAAAATTCTGGTCATTAGTTACTGAAAGGTTAATGCAATAACTTGACATTGCATCACTTGAAAGACATTTCCAGCAGATGCTTTAGATAACACAGTGCCCTTTATAAATTTACTCCACTATTTGCTTTGGTCTGAAATATGAAGCTTACTTACTAAGAGTATAACTATAATTTATCCCTGTCCTGATGGCAGGTGGAGCTCTATACCAAATACACTAAAAAAAGGAACCTGACAAAAACCACACTGCAAGCACGTCAAAACAAGAGTCTAAAATGATTAAAGGTAACACAGGAAAATGGAAGTCAGAAAAAAATCTTGCTGAAAACTTTCAGGTTTCTCCTAAAAGAATGATGGAACTGGAGTTCAAAGCTATGGAATATATGGGACTAGAAGCAAGATTACAAATGACCAAAATGAAAATCTATATACACTCAGATTTGTATATAAAATAGGGAGATTTCTAACAAATTATATGGAAAAGGCATTAGAAACAGGAAGTGATTTTGCAAAACAGCATGAAATGACATCGGATTGGAGAAAATATGTGGTTTTTTTCTAACACTTTGTCTGAAAATGCATTTTGGGATGGAGTTTATTTATGCTGTTTCTTGTTTTCTCTTTTTATAAGAGCAAATAAAATCTATATTTACATTAAAAAAATAAAGGCAGATATTCTAATCTGGAATCTGGAAAATGTACAGCTTCCTTTTAACAAATCTTGTTTTCTTCAAATACAAAGCAAAGACCTCTCACTGATATGCATCAATACTTCTCTAAGACTGCTGCTCCTCTACTTTTAACACATCTACGTCTAAATGGATCCCAAAAATCAAAGAAGAAGGATTATTCTAAGCACAGCTGAAATAAAGGGCTTTTCCTTAAGGCCTTTTGCTATGCAGTGGAGAGGTACAGTATATATTGTGAAAACTTGGGATGAGACCTGGAGGCTAACAAACACTTACAAATGCAGGGGATTTTATTTCCTTTGGAACATTTTAGAAAGGTTCTTTTTAGAAACGAATAGTATATTTGTTATGCAGAAGGAACTGCCCCTAGAAGATGTCTTTACTCTTAGGCAGAGGGTGGTGAGAGAAATGAAGCAAAGTAAAGTATCCCTTGTAGGCATAAAAAAGCATCAATAGCAATACATTACTGTGATGTTCAATGCACTTGGGCCAATTCTGACATTGGCTTTTTGTAGAGAACAAACAAAAAATATTATTTCACTGACCATCTAAAAACAAGTTTTAGACTTAGATTCTAAAATTAGTTTACTGAAAAAATAAAAGAAAATGCATATCATTTGACTAATTTAAAACTGTTTCTCAAATACAAGAGAATACTTCAAGAATTATGAGTAAAGAGCTAGACTATAAGAGACAGAAGATTTTTTCTCCAATATTCAAGTGCAATGATTTTATGCAATGGTTTATTATTTGCTAAGTGCTGCGATGCCTCAAGCCTGGAAAAAGTAATCAATACATACATACAGATGTGCATACATACATGCAACTCTTACCTTAGCCAGAGGCTGAGATTTGGTGCTATTCAATTTTTTATCTTGAGGTTCAAATGCTTTTGTCCCTCCGAAAGACCAACCACCATATCTGGTAGTAGAAATTAAAGTAACAGAAAGTTATCTACCTTAAGCTCTGCAGTTTTCTTGCAAGGGTAAAGTTGAGATGGTTACACTAATGTTTTATTTTTTCAACTGAAAGTAAAACTTCATCCCTCACAAACTCCTTCCTTGTTAAAAAGTTTTTAATCAGGTCAATAGTACCAGCTTTTTTCCAGCATAGGTATTCCCTTTGATAAGAATTTTTGCTTTCTGAAGGCTGAAATCTTTGAGCAACAGAAAGGGTTGTGAGCAAGTGAGGTATTACTGACTTCCAGAAGTGTCTTAAACAGCTTTATTTCTTCCTAAAGCATTCATATACTAGCTCAACTCTTTCATCCAAAGATGCTTACCTCTATTTATATAAAATCAGATGCACCTTCTTTCAATACATAAGTGGCTAACGCTTTCTTCTCCTTGATGAAGTCATACATGGTCTAATATTTCCGCTTATTTTATCAGCAGTGGTTGAGTTGTAAAGGCACACAAGTAAACTTCAAAATACAGCACATGACCTCTGTTGCTGATATCACAGAGCATGAAGCATTGCCAGGGGCATACCAGCCCTTTTTACTTCAAAGCAAATATTAATTGGAGCATATCCACCTCTATTTGATTGAGTTCTCTGAGGAATGGAAATTATATTGTTCACCTGGTTTAGATACGCATCTGAGATGCTGAAATTACTCACCACGTGGAAGAAACTCCAGAATTTTGGAGTAATCATCATGCCTAGAGGTAATCATCATGCAGCTGCTGGAGGAAGTTCTGAGATGTGACCATTGAAGGTCTTTCATGTTACCTTGAACCACAGCCTAACTCTACACCTTGATAACACCAGATAAAGACAATGACCCTCTATATTATAATATATGACAAAGGTCCATGCTTTGGATCAGGAAGGACTCTGGGGTTTATACACAAAGGATAAACAAAGGCTAGACATTTTAAGATTACCTTGTTTTGTTGAAAGACCTCAATAAATACTCTTCTACAGGGAACCCTGAAAGATTATACAAAATATGTCCTTTCTTATTCTTCATATAGGGAGCAGAGGTATTGAAACTTGGGCACATCTGAAAAAAGTATACATAAAATAAGTAAAGCACTTTTTAAAAAGAGTGGCACTACATTTAGCCTTATTTTCAGATTTTTATGTAGATTTTACAGCATTTCTTTATAACTGCATTTGCCTTTCCCAGCTTTAACAGATTTTCAATAAATTACGAATAGTTTTATGTTTATAAGGCAACTCAAATGGCTGTGCCACCTACATATTAGAAATCCCTTTGATTTCCCTTTCAGCCCTGTCAGTCATTTTGTTTTGAAAACATCAAAACTAGTATATAAGTTTAGGGATGTTTACAGCAATGAAAAAGGCAAGACTGCTTTTTATTTGTTTTTCCTGAGAAGAAACACAAAACAGGCCCCAGATAAATATGAGATGAAAGCAAAAGTCTAATTAATGTTATAAGCTTCTAAAAATTTCATTGATGAGCTGCAAAGAAGAATAAAGCAAGATGTCTTCTAACGATTCAGTGGGACATTCTCACAACCAAAGAAAATGTGACAGATATTAGATTCGATTATCTCAGAAGCTTTACAAAGTACTTTATGCCAATCAATTGAAAAAATTTAATGCTTATTTGATGTCTCAACCCCACAGAAAATAAAAATTCACTCTCGAAGATTGCTCTTACATAGCTCACACATAAAAGTTCTGCCTCCACTGTCAAGTGACCTCTCCTTTCAGTTTTCATGGTTAATAGACCTCTCCCTATGAAAGTTCCCATTTGTATTTTATCCTTGTATTTTAAGTATGTCTCATTATGATTAGAGGCAAAATTACTCCTTGTCCAGAAGAGTAAAAAACTAGTTTCCCCCTTCCATTTTTCCCAAAAACTGTATTGTCATATTTCATATGCAATCCTTACTCTAAATAATTACATCTTTATAAACAAAAGAAACTTTTTTTATAGGATATTCCCTTTTGTGGAAATACATTTGTCACCTCAGACAGTTTCATATTTTTGTTTATTACTCAACTCAGAGCAAGTCATCAGGAAAAATCATTAGTTAAGAAGGTCAGAAATTCATTATGTCTTTCAAAATCCTTTATTTCTTGAAACCTGTTGTAATTTGAAATCCAAAATCCAAACCAGAAGCAAACTCTAACAATTAAATCTCATTCATATGTAAATTCCCTGATGGGTTCTACCAGCAAGGTTCACCTGTCCTTCCCTTTGAAAGTAGGTAGTCTTCCAGATGTTATGGAAGAGTTATATTTTAACCTTGTTTTGCATGATGGATTTTCTCAATCAGAGTCCTATAACATATTTGAAGTAAGTTGCATCTGCTGAAAATAGTTCAGCTGTCTCTGATCCTATTATTTCAGATCAATTTATAGCCGTTTCTAGTGCACATATGTGTTCATATACATAAACAAGAAAATTGTGTACAATTTCGTTAGGTGTAACAGAATAAAACTCTAGTCATAACAAAGCAGACTTGTGAGGATTTATTTTCTCATCACTTTCACCAGCCCTTCAAAAACAGCAGCCAAGGAATTAGAAGTAATATACGCACAAACTTTTTTATACATATAAGTAAATCAGAAATTACATACCTCCTGTTCAGACACACATTTGCATGAATCTTGAGGTGACATAGATTCCATCTGCCAGCATGAATTATTTTTTCTAATGGGAATAAACATAATAAAATTATAACTAGCAAGTGAAAGCAACATGTCACTTAACAGAAGAAATCCAGAGAGTAATGAGCAAATCTGGCATGCTGAACACATTCTTAGCATTTGATCACAGCAGCAGCTGTGTCTAGTGTGATACAAATTTGACTCATTTTTATCAAAGTTGATTTATTAAAATATATATATATATATATACAGTCAAATGAGCTTCATGTCTCATATTTGCAGCAATTATTAAAGCATGGTCACTACTGCATTCCTGAATTTGGAATTCCTAACAAATATTTTCCTTAATGTCCGCTCATCATCAGGACACCAGGCTTAATCAAAGTCATCCTGAAATTAATCAGGAAACTGCCACTGATTTTAGAGCTGTATGGATCAGACTTCTAACAGTAAAGCCTACTTTGTGCTTCACCTGGATGCCAGCTCCTATATCAGAACTGATTGGTCACTAATTCCTTGCAGCCAAAAAAAAAAAAAATAAAAGCCTAAAATAATCCATTACACAGAAAAAAAAAAGTTCAAAATTTAAATTAAGGAAATAGTTACATTAGTTACAATTACCTGTATTGTGAATGTGTGCATGTGTGGTCCCAATCAGAGAAGTATCCCAGCAGAACCTGAGAAAGTTTTCCTAGGTAGTCATCTTCAGTGCTGTTCAAAGAGGGCCATAGGAGTATGAGGAGTGAAAGAGAAAGAAAAAAAATAAATAAATAAAAGAAATACAGACCTGTCAATGTGTCTAGCTCTATTAACTTTCAGTCTCAAGGTCCTATGCATTTTCCAAGAAATTAAAGGACTATAAAATCCATGCATAAGAAACATACCGAAATAATCTCATTTTAAAAAACTCTGTGAACACGTAAAGAAAATTAATTACAATTTTGGCTAAACAAATCTCAACATCTACCCATGGGCATCCTTCTCCTCATAATAACGTATTCCCAGTAGTTGGCATTGCTAAAGTGTTTTTATGCTTATAAAATAAATTTATATTATATTTATAAATTCAAACAGCATCTTGTTTTGCTCATCTGTATATTTGCATAGTAGAGAAAGTAACCTATATGTGTGATTAACACTCTATACAGATTAAATCCATAGATACTGCACATTTTTAATTAAATAAATAAATAAATAATGTAGTTGGCTTCAAAGCTGAACATGTAGAAATTAGTTTGAGTAAGAAGAGCAGCAGGCTTTGTAAATACTGTGTGGCATTTTTAAACCCAAGAATTATTTTGAGAAAATAACTTCAGATCTAATCAATTTTTTTAAAATTAAGCATGCAAAGGCTTGTTTAAATACACTTGTTCATTTACATATAAATGGTCACGGCTAGTATTAATTTGAGTTCAATCTTCTCCAAAGTCTTTGCCCTTTCCTCCAGAAAATTCTTCACACAAAGCTTTTCTAATCTTATGTTACTTTTATAATAATCTATAAAAGTGTACTAAACATCTAAAAAATACCCCACATAACTATTGTAAAAAGTAAGCTATGACTGTTTCCAGAATACAAATAAGTCTTTAAAACAGGAGAACTCAGGTGTAAAGATCCCAGAACCCTGGGTATTGATGGTGACAGATGAGCCCTTTACCTAAAGAAGGATTCTGCGTTATCGTAAAGTCTTGGTGTCAGCTTGAGAGGAGGATAATGGACGGCCAGAGGCTTCACGCTGAACAAGGCCATTGCCAGTGCCACGAAGAGCACGGGCAGCAGCACGCTCGCCAGGCTGCCCCTGACGTCTCGCCGAGTGTGGAGAAACCTCCTCGTCAGAAGGGCAGCCACCTGTGAGAGGACAAGGCGGGCTCCACGCACGCCCGAGGCTCCCGCAAGGGAAATATCTAAGTGAGACAAAGAAAGCAACCTCTTGGCAAACAAGGAAAACCAAAGTCAAGTTTCACATGCTACGTTGTCAAATATAGAACACAACTGCCTTATAGCCCTAATAAAATCAAACAATATAAGCCTAGCATGTTCTCCCGAATGGAATAGTAGATCCCCATACCACATCACTTCCAACTATAACCAACTAACTCTTCTTATGAGGGAAAACAGATAATCAGTTAACACATCTCTACAGCTTCCCATGTACAGCTAATGGTTTACTGAATATTTTCCATAAGTATTCCCTGTGACACTGCACTGGTTCAACCATTCCTTGTGCATTGCCACTTTTTCCTGGACAAACTGACAAACATGGCCTCTATTAGCACTAATGTCTTGATCTACCTTAACTTGAATCAGCAGCGACTTTTCCACAGAAATTTCAAAAGATCCTCTTCAGGGCATCACAGTTGCTAGGTACATGGATTCTCATAAAAGGATTCCTTTCATTTCCCAGCTTATATAGGACTGATAAAATTTTCATATTTGTTAGTTAATTCAGTTTTCAGAGCTCATGGGCTGTCCTTCATGTTCACATGGGCATACACCCACAGCTTATTAACATCTCACAAATCAATCAGTTTCCCAATAGACTCTCTCAATTTTATTTTATCGTTCTCTGTCAGACACTTGTGAATCCCACCAATCACTCTGCCTCCATTTTAGCCCCTAATATCTTCTAGGTACATGCAGGTTCTCATCAAACTCTCTTGCCTGTGGCTTTGCCCAGTTGAATGTCCTTCAACCTCTTTTCTTCCTCACAGCATAGCAGTGTCTGGCAGATTTACTACAACACGTATTTGTACCGTAGCAAGACTGAATAGCCTGCTTATTACAGTGCTCAAAGTCACGCTATATTTTATGAACACTTGTGATTTGTCTCTTATTACCTTCCCTTCTGCGTATTGAGAACACACTAACCAGCATTTTCACATTCCATGTTTAAACATATACATGTATGGAAGTTCTCATGTAACCTCAAATTAATTGTCCTTCTCTTAGAAGAGTTTTTTTTTCCTGAGTTAACAGAATTTTAATCCCAGACCCTTTGCATTGTTCTAATAGAGTATGTTTAGCCAAGAAGAGAGGCAAACAGGGAGAAATATTAATCAGATAATAAGCCAAACTTCTAACCATGGTTATTGAACAAAACAGCTCAAATTTTGCACTCATTACTCCACATAAATACTGGTTAATCACCCTCAGTCCCTGGGAAGGTCAAAATCTCCAGAAAATAACAGCCAGGATATGAAAAACAAGAAATGACCAGGCATAAACATGATACATTTGAATTGTGTCACCTGAGAGCCCAGCATGAGTATAAGACTGGTTTGGTGAATGAAGTATGAGCAGTGTGTGCTGTTTATTTTAATTTCAAAAGCCTGTGACACGGTTTCCCACATTCAAATGGAACGTGGAGGACAACAAAAACCACTGGCTGGACTGACAAGCACTGCCCTGCAGGCTGAGAGCAGGGATATTGGATCCAACTGAGGAGCAGCTGGTTAGTCAGAGTGTCCCTCGGGCAAAGATGAGCAAAACACTGGCTAACAGTACCTTGTAACACAGATGTGTGTGCATACCTGCACCTGGAGGGGATCCACCCTGTTTGGAGTCATCTTTATGTCAGGTACTGGTGACAAGGAAAACCTCCTGGCAGCAGGAGCAGCTCTCTGGCAGCACCTAAGAACCCTAGTGAGTTCAGGGTGCAAAATCTCTGCTCAGGGAAAGTATAAGCTGCAAGAGGCACCAGCTGGTACCTGGGAAATTCTGACATCATAAATCAGAAAAATAAATTTCACTAAGAAGAAAACAATTTTTGAGACCAGCCTGGACATGGCAATATGTAACCTGCTCTTGGCCTGCTTGACCTGCATTTTCAACATTAATATTCTCTCATTTTAACAAGCTTTAATTAACTCTAATTAATTTGAGGGTTATTTTGGGGGGGAGGGCAAGGGAGGAAATTCCAGTATTTATTTATTCCTTTAACTCTGAAACTGAATATTATTTCTTTTTTTCCCAGAAAATCCCACAGAACAGAAATTCTCCATTTAAGATGCTCTTAACTTGCTAATTTGACAGCTAACACAAATGGGATTTAAGGTTTTGAATCTCTGTGGAGAGAAAAAGTAGCTTCAGAATTCAGATTCTGATTCAGCATTCAAGTGCCCTGATCAAGGAGGTTTACATTTTAGGCTTGGAATTTTTTGTTCTGCAAACTGGAGTAGGAGGAAGAGATGCTATTGTTAAGATTTTTTTTTTAAGAAAGCTTCTTAGGAATGTATTAAGTTCTTTATATTATTGTGGTAAGACTCTCAATAGTTGTCACAATACAAAAATTGAGACACTCAGAGGCAGAAAAGTTTTCAAGGTATGAGTGGTTTTAGAATAAAACATATCCAGTAAATGCTACCAGCTCAGCATCCCTGAAATTCTAAAGTATACCATCTCCCATTTATCAAAGTAGCAAAGTGCCAGAAAAGCAGCACAGAATTAGATATTTTCTATAGTCCCAGACCTGCTAACAGATCATTAGCATGACATGTGAGTGAAAGAGGCTTCAAAATATTTGACCCTTTGAATCTCTGAAAGGCAACTATGACATCTACTTTCTGGAGACAGAAAGGGAAATCAGCACTGCCATTCATTCTTTTTTTCTTGACAAGCAAAGCAGAGGAAAATGATAACAACTTAATTCAGATTGCCAAAGGAAGGGAGACTGTCATCGTGTGTATAAATAATTGTCCATTCTGTCCAATATCCTGACTCTTACTCAATATTCATAGTGCCAATGAGCCAAGATATGTCCCAAGAAGATGCAATAAACCATTATAGTGGAAGTATATGTATGACGTTTGACTCAGGCACTTCTTTTTTTTTAAGTGATTTATCTTTTTTAGAACCTCATACGTTTATTGTTTAAAATTCTAATTGAAAAGGGTGCCAAATATCTTTCTGAACTATCTTAAACTTCCATCTTTGTGACCTTGAATTCTGTCATTGTTTTTGTGTTTCAGGTACAAAACAAAATTCTTGTTTATTTGTTTTGAATTTATTCTATTTGATGATACCGGATGGGCTCTTAAATCTTGCTTTAGGAGACAAGTTATAGAAGTTTTCAATCCATCTTCTGCATAAATAATCTCAACCTTTCACTCTCCTCTTATAAAAATCTTTATAGTCCTAATCAACGTCACTACTTGTCTCAACTCCTCTTATATTAACACTTGATCAGTCTCAAGATATAATGTGTTCAATGCAGCTATCAGATGTGGAAACACTACTGATTTATACCATAGTATTATACATTCTTGTACTGATCAACTTGTTATTTTCTATATGCATCATACCACTTCATCTGACTGCAGCCGCACTGTGAACAGGAGCCTGCATTGGGCTTTCCATAATAGACTCAATATGGCTTTCAAGATTCCCAAGGTGTTAAATCACTCTTTCAACTAGAACCTACAGAATTAATTTTTGCTTCATAAAACTTGTAAGTAATTCACCACCTACGTCTGGTATGCATGTCAGGATGCATAAAAAGAGCATACATTTATGAGAAAACAGCCTCTGATTATCACTGAGAACCATAAAGGCTAGAAGAAAAGACCAGCTGACCTCTCTGTTATGAAGTCAATTTTTATGCAGAAAGCTTGTGAAAATATCCCCATTAATAATTTAGATCAGAGAATTAAAAACCTGACCCAAGTGTTAGAAGCTGTCTTGCTTGACTTACAATTGCAATTATCCACCAGAAGTGCAATTATGTTCACAATTAACTTGTACTTCCCAATTCATCCAGACTCTCCTTTGTATTACTGACAAGACTTTTGCTAGTTTCCAGCACGTATAGGTTAATATTAGGTACAGGGAAACAGAACAAGTCCTAAAATCCAGAAACAAGATTATCACAATCCTTGCTTATAGACCACTCTTGAATTAGGAGCAGAAACAATTATAAAATTACTATGACTTATTCTTGCTTTTATATAATAGAATAATGAGTTCTCTCTATCCAAAACTGATCAGAAAAATGTTTATGTTGGGGGTTATTTCACAAGTGACATTCCATTGGGGCATTTTTAGATATGAATCCTCCTATTCCTCCCCTCAGGCTATTTTTAATTTCAGGCATTGTGCACATTTCTTCTAAAAAGTTGATTCAAATTGTTTCCATCTTAAGAATTTTCTGTCTTAGAGATTCTCCCTACCCCATACATATTGATTATATATTATATCATATCAAATTATATTACATCCTATTATATTACATTATATTGTATTACATCACGCCACCTCATAGCACCCCATATAATATCATCTCATATTACGCCACCTCATAGCACCCCATATAATATCATCTCATATTAC